AACCGTGTGCGCTTCTCAGAAGGCTCTGAACCATCATTGTCACTTCCTGAGAGATCTTCATCCTCTGCTTCATCCCTAAAGATGTCGTCATAGGCAGGAACTTCAAGGTCATCATCTTGTTTAATGAGTAATTTGATCTATGTTATAAAACAAAAGGCAATCAAGATTTTCTTCTTTTCTTGCCAGGACACCATTCACCAAGACGCTTTACTTCTGTAGAATTGTACCTTTTCTTAATTAGCTGGCTCATAAGTTTTCTGCACACACAAGCAGCACCCGTCTAAGGAGTGCTCTAGGCCTCTCAGTGCTACTCAGTAAGGCACTAGTTGGCCCACATGTACATAGAAATTATGAAGATGTGAAAACAAGTTTTTTTTTAAAAAAACTTAAAAAAAATTATTTTTTTTATTTTATGTGCATGCATGTATTGCTGGCATGTAGGTAAGTGCACCTGTGTCATACAGTGCCTGCAGAGGTCAGAAGAGGCTGTTAGATCCCCTGGGACTGGAGTTATGGACAGTTGTTAGCTGCCATGTGGGTACTGGGATTTGAACCTGGGTCTTCTGCAAGACCAACCAGTGTTCTTAACCACTGAGCCATCTCTCCAGCCCCGAAAACAAGTTTTTGAAAACCACCTACAGCCTACTTTAATTCTGGTCAGACAGTTCCCTCTTATTCTACACATTAAAGAAAAAGTCCCACCACTTGGCATTTGATAGAGGATGTGAAAATGCTACTGTGGTTGGGTATGGTTTATCTCCCAGATTCATGTGCTGGAAGCTTGGTTCCTGGTGTGGGGTGTTGGGGGTGTGGAGCGATTAAGAGGTGGGTCTAGTGGAAGGTGATTAGGTCAACAGGGGGTCTGCCCTCACTAATGGAAAAATGCTGCCTCTCAGAAGCAGGTTGGATCTCTTAGGAGAAGATTAATTCTTACCAGCATGAGATGTTACAAAGCTCCCATGGCTTGTTCTGCTGCTTCTTGTCTTACCAGGAACCTTTCTCACTCTCCCACACACTTCTGTATTGGGATACCATCTACCATGGGGTCTCACCAGAATAGAGCAGATGTTTACACCATACTCCTGAATATCCAAAATAGTGAGCTAAATGTAACTTTCATCTATAAGGTACCCAGTCTCAGGAATTTTCCTAGAGTGACCCAAAATGAACAAGACAGATGTGAACCCCAAAGTGAATATAACGTCTGTCTCTAACAGCGATTCCAGGCTGATTTCTCTTGAGTTCTTCCTATGAGGATTTTAGGGTCTGATGCCTTATGGTAGGAAATCAAGTCACAGAATGCTTGGATGGTTGGTCTGTGCTAGGTTGTATGTTAATGCTCAGAGGTTCAGAATAAGTGTAGTAGAGCCATTTTAGGCTAAAATATTCTAACTCTCACCAAAGATAGGCAAGACTAGGTTCTTGTATTGAAGATAGCCCCAATCCCACAGGGGTACTGGAAACACACCTTGCAAAAGAGACCTGTGCAATATTGTCGACAGCATAAAAGGTACACAGACTGGTTAAGGGAAGGCACATACAAAGGGAGTCCCCATGGCCTAGGTACCTGGTTATCATTGTACACATTCACAACGTTGACTGGCCTGTGGGTATCACACACAAAAAATATACTGTCTTCATCAGGTTGAAGGATATCCAACAGATCTACATTAGCTCCACAGTTTATGAGGATAAAATAGGAGAACTGAAACAAGAAGGGAGACATTGGAAATGAACTGTATCAAGGAGGCCTTGCCTTCAGCACTTTCCGCCTCTACATTCCCACTGAAGCACTGTCAGTCACATATGGCAAGGCCCAGAGGGAATGGCAAGGAGGTCTGAAAACTGTCCACAGCTGGCTTGGCTATTTCTTTTCCAAGATGACACTGTGAGATGGGCTCTGGGGCTCTTCTTGCTTCCTAAAGAACATGCTGAGGCTCAGTAAACCCAAGACTCGTACACAGCATCAAATAGCTAACGAAGAACAGACCAAGACTTCATACATATAACGAAGTCTCTCTAAATATTGGTGAACTATATATACAGTTAACAGCATTGTACAGGTTTAGGTTTGTAGGAAATCCTGGTCAGCCCATGCTTTATGGGCATCTCAATGATAAGTCCTTTAACACACTATCACTATAGCAAAACCTTTCCTTAGTAATACCAACTTGGCTGGGTGTGCCAGCTGATACCTATAATCACAACACTTCAGAGGCTTAGCCAGGAGGATTTCCCATGAATTCAAGGTCAGCCTGGGCCATTGCATAAGATACTGTCTCACAACACTGGGAAAAAAAAAAATCCAACTGGTACAGGTCCTTCAAGCTATGAATAAACTTGAAGGGAGGATTCATCTCTGCCAAAACATTCTAGAAGTGGCCAGGGACTTCAGAGACCCCCTTAACATGCCCCAGCCACTACCCATGGGCTCACAATGTCTCATTTCTCATTTGGGCTCCATGTAAAGGTTAGGAGTTTTGGCCTCTACTATCTAAATTCCAAAGGGAGAATACAGGTTCCTATATTTCAGTTGGAAACTGGACTGCATTTTCCTGGGGAAATAACATAAATTAGTGGTGTGCTCTATTAACATTAGTGAGTTCATATTAGGTGCCACTTTTTTTTTTCTTTTTCTTTTTTTTAGAGACTGGGTCTTGTCATGTGCCAAGAGTGGCCTCAAATTCACTATGTAATCCAGCCTTGCATCAAATAGGTGATTCTCTAGTCTCAGCCTCTTGGGTATGGAACTACAGGCAAGGATTCGCACACTTGGCAGTCTTTTCTTGATTCTGTCTCCATGACTTTGAAGCCTAACGAAACTGATACTCTGAAACACACTTCACCTATTTTGGAACTAGAAAGAATGTTAAATACTAAGAAATTGCAGCTGAGTAGATAAGCCAATTCATTCTAAAATTTGTATCTCATACCTGTTCTTTATGCTCAAGATATGCAGTTTCAAGTTCTTGCCACCCAGAAACTGGAATGAGTGTGTACTGCACGTGGTCACACTGAAACAGGGCCTGGAGAGAAAGTACTGTGAGAGCCACTCCTATATAGGATATCCACAATTCACCTTGAAGTACACCAGAAACAAAGTGAGTTGACAGACAAAAGTCCTGAGTGGTAACGAGTGTGGGGGGAGATGGCTCAGTAATTAAGAGCTCTGACTGCTCTTGTAGAGGGCCTGGGGGTTTGTTTCCCAGCACCCATATGGCAGCTACCAACTGTCCTTAACTCCAGTTCCAGGGGAATCCAATGACCTCTGCGGCACTGCACAACATGAGTGCACTCACACAGAAGCAGGCAATACACTCATACACATAAAATGAAAATAAAAAACAATATTTTTTTAAAGAGTAGCAATAGGTAGCCGTGCGAGTGTTCAGTGTACAGATGTGTCAATTTGGTTGACTTTGCCAAAGTAAACACCGAGAGAAAAGCTAATCTTAACACCGGGGGTTCTGAAAAATTCCTGACCCTAGCTCAATATAAAAACCACTCTATAATATTCAAAACCAAACTATACCCCAGGAGCTGCTGTATTTCAAGCCCTGACTACGACACTACTCCCAGTTATCAGAGTTCTTTCCCAACAGGCAGATGCCTGAGTTCCAGGCCAGCCTGGTCTACAGAGCGAGTTCCAGGCCCATCAGAGCTACTCAGTGAGACCCTGTCTCAAGAACCCCAAACCAACCCAAACCAACCCAAACTCCACTTTTGAGAAGCCACTACAAGTTCAAAGAGTTCAGAAGTAAAATCACCCCACTTGAGTTACTGTAGAAATACTACTTGTCTCGCTATTTGCACTGTCCTTTTCTAGCCCCAATACAGTGCAGGGCAGTGCTGTCCCTCCGAGACCCCAGCCGTCACCAGCTCCGCCAGGGCTCCCACAGGCTCCGCCCATCCTGCGCCCCACCTCCGGCTGGGGCCCACCCAGTTCCCACCGTTCTCGCCCAGGCCTTGCGCTCTCTAGGGCCCGTAGAGCTCACCTGAAGGATCTTGCAAGCACACAAAGCATCAACGTCCGAGGCCACAAAGAGGAGGACCCTCTGTAGGAAAAGGTCAGACGGACAAGCTGGAGCAGCAAGTCCAATCCTGCCGCTCCCCGTCCTCCTGGCCCACCCACCGACTGGCGCCGTCACCCCTTTCCCTCAGATACAGCTGGACCCGGATTCTGGGCTGGGAGTCACCTGGCTCTGGACCAACTCGTAGAACTCCCTGCGGAAATCGGACACGAACATAGCAACGGCGGCTGGACACCAGGAGCTGGAGGTGAACACCGGTATCCCCAGGAGCGGTCAAGACTCCCGCCAAATCACCGCTCTTCCGATTGGCCCAAGCCAGCAACCAATAGTTCCTAGTCTTGCCTCCTTTCTGATTGGGTCATATTGAGGGCGGCCAATAAAGCTCTGTCATTCGCAGCTGGAATAGGTCCCCCCTCCTCCCCCCGAAGCATCTTTTCTGGAGTCAAGGTGAAAAATCTGCGGCTCCCTTCAACGCCAACTTCCATTTACCCAGAAACCCCTACGCTCGGCGGACATCTTTACTTAGGGAAGAGATGTCCACTAGCTCACTCTGGGATGGTCAGAAAAAAACACTCTTAACTATAAAGCAAATTCAGTCATATATCGATTGAGAGCAAAAATTATGTTTTCAATAAACTCTTCGTCGAGTTAGAAGGCTGATGCGCAGCTTACTTCCGCCAGAGTCCATGATGTTGGAGGCGCAGGCCAGGAAGCTCTAGCTGCATTCTGGGTATTGTAGTCAGTAACAAAAATGGGTCCTACCAAGTTTGTTTGGAGAGGAATACTATCAAAACATTATAAATAATCTCTATACTGTGAAATAACCTATTAGGCTGTATTTCAATGCTTGTTTTCAATAAATTTTAGTCATCAGAGCCTTTACGTGGCTTTCTGCCTTTTGCAACAGATGCCGGACTTCGGCGACCTCCCCCTGCTCGCAGGCAGGTCACTTCCGGTGACGTTCTCGCGAGGTCTGGGTTTCCGTGAGGCGGTGCGGTTGTGTAGATTGGTATCCCTGGATTTCGGCTGTAAGGTTCGCGGAGAGAAGCGGCGTTTACGAAGCGTTGTCCATCATGGTGAGCTGGGCCGGGGTCGGGAGCTGGGATGAGGCTGGAGCTCCAGCCGGGCGTCGTGGTCCGGGTCGGGCCGGGGTGGCTGTCGAGATGCCGAGTCACCCGGGCCTCCTCGGGCCGGCTCTGCCCCGGACGCTTCTAGGGCTAGTCGGACCCGTGCTTACGAGACGCCTCTTTTCCTGTTGTGTTGGCGATTCACGTAGTCTGCTCTACCCCCGAACTTGAGGGTAGAAAGGAACCTTCTCTTGTGGTGTCGGTAGTTCTAAATGCTCTGCGCGCAACAGGTTTGCATACACAAAGTTAACTGGAAGTTCTTGGCGTGGGGACAGACATCGGGGATGTAGTCCTGAGCCTTGCAGTTCGTGCTCCTTACGGAAGGCCACGTATTTTCAGGCGCTTCTTTCTGTTTACACAGCTTTTCTTTAACACCTGCCATCCTTCAGCACATCCTATTTTCTTTAATTCCTGCCGCCCCTCGGGGACATAGATGGTTATTGTATTAACCATGAAAAAAACCAAAATTACAGGGCTAGTTTACTTAAAGTAACAAAGTGAGGCGGCGAGATTTTGAAGTCAGATCCATCTCGCTGCAGTCATCGCCTCCATGTCACTTGTTTATTTTGTTTAAAACAAGGAGTAACTATTAGATTTTATCCTGAGACCGTCACTCCTTTTTGTTTGTTGGTTTTTGTTTTGTTTTGTTTTAGACAATGGCTGGCCTGGAACTCCCTATGCAGACCAGGCTGAGCTTGAACTCAGAGATCTGCCCAGCCTCTGCGGCCTGAGTGCTGGGATCAAAGTCGTGTGCCACCGCACTGGACTCCTGAGTGTGTCACTGTTAAATCGCATTTCTCAGTTCACCCATGTAACCAACACTGAATGCTTCATGTGCTGGGCTTTGAGGTGTTAAAAGAAACTGAATCATGTGCAGTTAGGAGCAGCAAGGAAAGGCAGGAGGTCAGTTCATGAGTGAATGAATTGGAGGCACGCTAAGAATGTTGTGTATGTTTTCATTTAAGTTTCAGAGAAGCAGTGGCTTAGATTGGCTAGGGGAAGGAACTTTGAGGATACCCCTCTGGCTTCCATCATTCAGAAGGATTTTGTGGGTTATCCATCTAAGACTGAGTGAAACAATTCTAGTGCTTTAAAGAAAAAGACAAAAAAAGCCAGGCATGGTGGCCCACATCTTTAATCCCAGCATTTGGGAGGCAGCTAGATCTCTGAGATTGAGGCCAGCCTGGTCTACATAGCAAGTTTTGGGCTAACTGTGACTACAGGGAGACTAAGTCTCAGAAAAAAGAAAGATGCTGTGCTAGATAGTTCTAGTCACTGAAGAACCATCTAAGATTTATTAAACATCCCCCCACCCCCGTGGGTGTGGATATAGGTGTGTGTATTCAAGTGCACATTTGTATATGTAGTCAGAGGGCAAAGTGCTTTTGTATTTGTTTTGAGACAGGGTCTCAGTCTAGCCTTGGCTGGCTTGAACTTGCAGAGATCTGGGCAGGTGGTACACCCCTTTAATCCCAGCACTTGGAAGGTAGAGGCAGGCTCTGTCAGTTCCAAGCCAGCTAGGGCTGCAGCATAGTGAGACCCTGTCTCAAAAAACAAAACAAAACAGGAACACCCCCCCCCCAGACGTAAACAAATTCATAAAGATCCTTTTGCCTCTGCCTCCAAGATCTTGATCTCTCACTGATTTGGAACTCACTAAGTAGGCTAGGCTGGTCTCTAAGCCCCAGGGATCTGCCTGTCTGTACCTGGCCAGTGCTTGGGGATTACAAGTATATATCACCACATGCCCATTACCTGTTTTAAAAAACAAAACAAAACTTGTTCTGGGTATTGAATGCTGGTCCTCATGCTTACAAGGCAACCACTTAACCAATTGCTATCCTCCAGGCCTCCACCTGCATTTTAGGAAGATAACTAATTCAGCCTGCTAATTTTAGCATTACTATTAAACTACTTTATCTGTAGGGGCTTCCCTTCTTCGTGATTATGTTGGAATTAAGTTAAATTCTTGTTGTAAGTATGGCTTTAATTCCAGCACTTGGGAAATAGATGGCAGGTAGATCTCTGAGGCCAGCCTGGTCTACATAGCAAGCTCCAGGTCAACCAAGGCTACATAGTGAGACCCTGTCTCAAAAAAAATTCTTGCTATAGTGAGATTTTTTTTTTTATTGTGAAAAGTGCATGAATTTTTTTATTTCAACTATTTTTAAGTATACAGTCCACTTCGTGATTATGTTGGAATTAAGTTAAATTCTTGTTGTAAGTATGGCTTTAATTCCAGCACTTGGGAAATAGATGGCAGGTAGATCTCTGAGGCCAGCCTGGTCTACATAGCAAGCTCCAGGTCAACCAAGGCTACATAGTGAGACCCTGTCTCAAAAAAAATTCTTTCTATAGTGAGATTTTTTTTTTATTGTGAAAAGTGCATGAATTTTTTTATTTCAACTATTTTTAAGTATACAGTCCAGTAAAACTGTATTCACATTGTTTTGAAATAGATATCCAAATCATTTATTTTTATTTTATGTGTATGAGTGTTTTGCCTACATGTATATGTGTACCCATGTTGTACAGTGCCTGTGGAAGCCAGAAGAGGGTGTTGGATGCCCTAGAACTGGTGCTGCAAATGGTTATCAGCCATCATATGGGTGCTGGGAATGGAACCCAGGTCCTCTGGAAGAGCAGCTAGCTAGTGCTCTTAACCACTGAGCCATCTCTCCAGCACTCCCAAATCATTTTTTATAGTGAAGAAATGAAACTCTTATTTACATGAAGTGACAATTCACCATTTTTCCTTTCTCACAGTCCATAGTAAACACTCTATGAAGTTGATTACTGTAGGTATCTCATATAAGTAGGTCTAAGCCCTTTTATAACTGTCTTATTTCACTTTGTGTAATGTTCTTTAGATTGTTGTAGCATGTGACAGGATATCCTTCCCTTTTAAGGTCAAATAGTATTCTATTACATGTATGTACTACATTTTGATTTTGTTCAGTCACCTCTCAATGGATGTTTAGGTTGCTCCCCCTTTTATAGCTATAGTAATAATGCTGCAGAGAGTAGGAATGTGCAAAATCTAGGAGATCTGCTCTGAATTCTTTTAGATATTTGCCCATTATGAGATTTTAGGCTGAATGTGGTAGCATATGCCTTTAATCTCACAACTTCAGAGGCAGAGGTAGGTGGATCTCTGTGAGTTTGAGGCCAACCTGGTCTGCATAGTTCTAGGCAAGCCACAGCTACATAATGAGACCCTGTCTCAAAAGGGGGGCGGGGCACTGGACAGCAGTCTCAACACTCATACAGAGGCTAACAACCCTCCCTAACTCTTTAGTTACAGAGGATCTGAGTTTCTTCTGGCCTCCCCAGTCATTGCATAACACAGGTACACTTACATACATACAGGCAAAACATATACATAAAATTAAAAAAAAAATTTTAAAGAGATTTTATATGGAAATACTTGAAAAGACCCCAAATTGATAATATGTCACTAAGTGTAGTTGCTAGCTTAAGAGCTGGGTCTTGACTTTTTACTAGTACTATATATGCTTATTGGTGTGAGAAAACATTGTGGTATAACACAGGGTGCCTGTCTGTTCTGTGCTGTGAGCATATGGGAGAGGCACTAATCTGACCAGGGCCAAGGGAGGAAGGCTTGCTGGAGAAAGGAAAGGATGGTAATTAAAAGCCAGGCAAAGGAGTGCATATGTGGGCAGCTGTTCTTTCTACTGCCTGGAGTATCTTTTTGTTTCCTGCTTAGGTGTCTGATGCCACATATGTGTCTTCAGGGAGTCTCCTCCTGAACACTGGTTTAACATACATCCCTAGGAGCTCTCTGTCCCCTTATCTGCTTTTGCCTTCAGAATTCTCAGACATGTAGTTTTATCTTCAACATCAGGTGGCAGGGCAGAGGTGATATCACTACAGTGATGATCCTTAAAGCCCAGGTCAGAGTCTGGTGGCCATCTGGTACTCAGTAAAAGAGAAGGCTTTTCAGTTAATAGCCATCTTCTAAATTAAGGATTACAGAGAAAGGGCTGCAGGTTGCGTGACAAGCCCAGGCAGGAGCGTGGCAGGTTAGGAGATGGTGAGACTGTCAGTAATGAGTCTCTGTGACATGTACAGAAGGTCCAGCCTTGATCTTGAGGATGGGGAATAGTAGTGCAGAAAGATGTGAAGGGGAGGCCTGAGGTGACTAGGTCGTACTGTCTACAAATAGTGGAACCTAGACCTAAGAGGTGAGACAGAAAGGTTCTGAGGTTTATTATGTTCCCTAGGAAGTCAGAATATTCTGGTTGAGATTTTAGTTCATTCTGCTTTTAGCAGCACTAATGACATTGAAATATTTGACATTTAGCCTGAAGAAATGTAGCTTTGAGCTAATACATGGCATTGACCTGTAGTCCAAGTTATGCAGGAGGCTGAGGCAAGGGATCTCTTGAGTGTAGGACTTCAGGACCAACTTGGGGAACGCAGGAGACCTCATCTTGAAAGGGAAAAAAGCCCCTTTGTTCTAATAACAGCATCTCTCTCTTCCTTCTAGTTCTCTTTCAACATGTTTGACCACCCGATTCCCCGGGTCTTCCAGAACCGCTTCTCCACGCAGTACCGCTGTTTCTCCGTGTCTATGTTAGCAGGGCCTAATGACAGGTCAGATGTGGAGAAAGGAGGGAAGAGTATGTGCTTGTTTTTATTTTGAATAGTCACTTTTCCTGCCCTCAGTCTGCAAACCTATAGTCTTCCCCAGCCCTTATTTTGCACATGGGTGCCAGACACTAACTAGCAGTACAGTAACAATGTCACTTGTTCTGGGACATGGGTGGTGGGAGTTAGGGTGCTAATTATGATTAGATTGATGACAGAGAGCTATTCAGAGCCTCAAAGTAAATAAATAACCCCAAATAAGATTTTTTATGAAAAGCCATATAATTCTGGCTACCCTAAAACTATTTAAAACTTTTAAAAGATATATCAGAAAATATTCATGCCTTTGTTGTATCCTTTTTATTTTTTAATACTGCTTAAATGTTCTTTCCACAGTAATTATGCCACCTTCAGCCCTCGATCAACTGAGTAAGTATTTTCTAAGAGACTTAACTTGGGTAATATAAATACGGGTGACAAAAAATCAGCACAGGCTCCTCAGTGTGTCTAGACCCAGGTGACATTTGTCAGATGTTGTTAGGAATCCTCTTTGGGGGCATGCTGGGTCGGGAGAACCAAGGCCACAAGCACCCTAGACAAGGTTAAGTAAGGTTGGGCTTGTGATCACTGGGCTCTCCACCACCTGGATGCTTCAGGCCCCTCCTCAGTGAAGGGTATTTCTCTCTTTGCTCCTGCTCCTATCTACCTCCTCACTTCTGCCTGGTTTGTCTTAAGAACGTATCATGGTTAAACGAAAGTACAGAGATGAAGTGCTTTGTCCAGTGCTTAGGCAGCTCATGCTGTGGTTTGGGCTCACTAGGTTGTCGCCCAGAGATGATTGGTGTGATCACACAAATGTGAATCAGATCTCACATCCTTCTGAAATGGCTTTCCTGAGCCCCAGACCCTGCATTTCTCACCTCTAGTATACTAAGTTGTGTCCTAAGCAGTTCAGATATTCAGCTGTTGACTTTTCTTCCCAGACCAGATAAAGCCTACTTGTGAAAGCAGCCACATTCTTCCTTTCTTTTATTATAGATCATAGATAAACTCTGCTTCCTCCTGTGGAGACTGGTCATGGGGATGTAGTGGAGCCTTGCAGAGAATAGGTGCCAGTTTGCTGTGTTTGGGCTTTGCACTTTGCCCTGCCTGGCTGCTGACTTAGCTTCTTTGAACCTTTGTCTCCATTGACCAGGGGCACCATCAGTGTATGTGCATTGGAGCTGCTGTGGTTTGTGGGAACAGCTCAAGTGGGAAGGTAACCCTTAGCTCAGTGTCCTAGAAGATACTTAGGGACTAAGTAGTAGGATTTAGACCAATGTTTAGATCTTTGGTTTTGTAGTACTAAGGATTCAGGCATGCTAGGAAAGTACTTATTTGCTGAGTTGCATCCTCAGCCCCTTTATTTTTTATTTAAAAAATGTATTTTATGTGTATGAGTATTATGCCTACATGTTTGTAAATGCACCTGTGTCATGCAGTGCCCATGGAGGCCAGAGAGGGTGGAGTTACAGACAGTTATTAGCAGCCACGTGGATGCTGGTGTAAGTCGAATTTACTGCTGGGAGGCACATGCTTGGCTTCCTCCTCCCACCGTCCATATGACAAATTGAGAAAATATTCCTCCAAACTATAGTTTAGGGACTGAAAATATTTATTGGGCTTATTAACAGAGCATATGATGGCGATGAGGGGCTACTTCAAAGAATGAGCACCCTTGGGCTGTTTTTTTTTTCTCTACATTTAAGCCGGGTCATGGCATCCTGAACTTGTGGCTGCCTGTCCAAGATGGCAAAGCACCACCTTCTTCTTCCTCTGTGTCTATCCTTAGTCCCTCCCCCTCATGCAGTTAAGGCTGACTGATTGGGTGGGAGGGATGATTGTCTCCCTCTGTCCCTCCCTTCCTACAGAGAGTCTTGGGGTCCAACTAGTTTGAAGTAAGCATGGGGGTGAGGGGGGAGCTAGAGAAGAAGACAGCCATCTGTTGCTGGTCATTCAGAGGACAAGCCTATCCAAAAGCTGGGATTCAAACCCAGGTCCTCTGCAAGAGCAGCCGGTGCTCTTCACTGCTGAGCCATCTCTCTAGCCCCCCTCAACCCTTTAAAAGTTTCTCTTACTTTCACACTAGGTTTCATTAAATTGGCCAGGCTGGCTTCAGATTTGCAATCTTTCTTCTTTGACTTCCTGAGTAGCTCGCATTACAGGCATGTGTCCTGCACTTAGCTGTTCAGACATCTTAAGTGGTGGAAGAAACCCTTTTGTAAATCAAATAAGATCACATATACAGTCCTAAATGCAGGTTACTGCTCCTCTCATAAGAGGTCAGGGAGCACAGAGGACTCTTATATTGGTAAAGTGAAGTCACTCTTCACCCCCACATGTCCTTTTTTTTTTTGGTCTTTTTGAGACAGGGTCTCCCTGTAGCCCAGCTGTCCTGGAACTCACTATGTAGACCAGGCCTTGAACTCCCAGAGATCCTCCTGCCTCTGCCTCCTGAGTGCTGGGATTAAAGGCGTGCGCCACCACACCCAGCATTTCCTTATTTTTTTGGGAAACAGGGTCTCACTATGTAGCCTTGGCTGGTCTGGAACTATATAGACCAGTCTGGCCTCAAATTCATAGTTTCTCCTGCCTCTGCCTCCTGGGCCAGCCTCTAAATAGAAACTCTTAAGGTAGAGATTTTTGTCTGGTGCATGATTAGCATTTAAATTATTGATGAATAAGTGAACATACCACTTTTAAGAATTGTAATTTCAGGGACTGGAGAGATGGCTCAGCAGTTAAGAACACTGACTGCTGTTTTAGAGGACCTTGGTTTGGTTCCCAAGACTCACATGGAGGCTAGCAGCTGTTGTAATTCCAGTTCTCCATGGGCATTGTATGACACAAGTACACTTATGCAACATGCAGGCAAAGCACTCATACAGAGAAAATAATAAATTTAAAAATAAAGAATTGTGATTTCAGAAAAATCACAAATCTATGCTGTTAATACATGACTAAGTAGCCAAGCTTCTCTGGAACCACATGCTGTGTTCTTGAAGGCAGTGATACCCTTCTACCTAGTAGGGGAATGTAGGGGACAGACTTTCAAGTCTAGGGGTCAGGGATACAGGGCGAGCAGGGTTTCTCTTTCACAGGAACTGTACATTGCGGGGTTACTTGATTGTGTCTCTTTCCTTTTAGGCCGGCTTAACATTACCTATCCTATGCTATTTAAACTTACCAATAAGAATTCAGATCGCATGACACACTGTGGTGTATTGGAGTTTGTTGCTGATGAAGGCATCTGCTATCTCCCCCACTGGGTGAGTAAGGCTACCAGGGTCTTGGGAGAGTCTGTCCCTTGAGGACCTCATAGGTAGGGAAGCCCCCTGCGTATATGTGCATACTTCAGAGTCCTGCATCTAAGTAGTGTGGCCCAGTAAGAGGAGGCCATCAGTAACAGTGTGCTGTGCCATGTTTTAAACATTGTGCTTAGCTGTGGAGACATAGATCAAATTCACTTGAAGGATGTCATTGGACTCCTGGGTGCTGCATCAAGGGCACAAGAGGCTCCAGAGCTTTTCCTGGAGCTGGACATCTCAGAGAGGCCCAAAGAATGACTAGGCATTTTAGGGAGGACTCTGAGGTAGCATGCATTCTGTAGGGTGGCCATGGGAACCATCCGGCTCCCTTTCTTCCCTCCTTGCCTGCCTTTGTCCACCCTCTCCCAGGTGGGCAAGCTTAGCTCTGGGAAGTTCTCAGAGGAAAGCATGTGGCTCCTTTTTGTGCTTTATGCTAGCATGTGTACTTAAGTCTCCTGGGTGGGCTGTGGATGGGACTGAGGACACATAGTAGTGCTTTGTCTGCCACACTTCAGGCTCCCCTTCCCCCAGAACATTGTTCTGAAGTTCACCTGCTCCTCTCATTTTATCAACACATTTCAAAGGGGTAGCTTTGAAGGTTTGAGGTTGCATGTGATACTAGTTCTAAAGATCATCTCTTGCAGGGAGTAACTTTGCCCATGCCACCATGGAGAGGGTTTTGCTTTTCAGCTGGGTCCCAGGGAACTTGAGAAGTGATGTTCACAGTGAGCTTCTCAACAAGAGCCCTGTTCACTTGTATCCCCTACTGCCAGGCTTTTTCTGTTCTCTCTCCTTGCCCAGACCTATTGTAACAATTCTTACTAAAGCCTGGACCTAGCCTGCCTTGCTGAGCACTTAGCACTAAACACCTTACTATCCTTGAGTGTCTACCAGTACGCAGGACAGTGTCCCATTGTAGTAGAGGGCCTGGTCACTGAAGCTGCTCTGGGTGACTAACGTCTTTGGTAGTGATTCTTTCAGTCTTTCTCTTCTGCAGAGGTCCCTGTGGGCTGACCCATTGAGATGAAAGAGGACGTGGTAGTGACACTGTACTCTGAAGATTTTCCTCCGTCCCCAAACACTTTGACCCAGGAAGCTATTTGAATCTTTTTCTCTGAGATGCCACAAGGCACCTGGGAAGGCTTGTGGGGTATGAGACTGTGTGTCCACTTCTTCCTGGGTTGGTCTTTCAACTCCTGGCATGGACAGGCAGCTGCTGTCTCCCACCTGCAGTCCCATGTGACAGGGAGTGTGTGAGCAGGTGCTTTCCCTTGGCTGATTCGTGGGCTTTATCCTACCTGGAGTTCCCAGACTTGAGGGAGAACCAGCAGGAAGTGCTTCCTTGTCTCCTAACTGCTGGAGCCTCATTTTTGACCCATACCTATATACGGGTCTGATTGCCAGCATTAGGGTACCCACCAGGCCAGGTCCTGCCATGCTATCTGTACCAAAGTGCCCACTGATGGAACAGGCATAGAGTGAAATCTTAGCTCCTCCTGTTCCCTTACTGCCCTCAAGTCTTTTCCAAAAGTCCATTTGTCCCATAGGCCTTGGTCCCACCTTGTTTCCTGCTTTTTATTGCTGGCAGCTATGTCCTGCTTTTGACTGGGGAAGCTCCAGGCTTCGCTTGGGCCTGTGATTACATCTTTGCCTTACATACTCAAGGGCTTTATGCCACAATTACCTTCCTCCTCACTGACACATGCTTTTTCTTTCTTTCTTTTTCTTTTTTTTTTTTTTTTTTTTTTTTTTTTTTTTTTTTTTTGGAGACAGGATTTCTCTGTAGCCTCAGGTGGCCTGGAACTCACTACTATATAGACCAGGCTGACTTTGATCTCATAGAGATCCACTTGATTCTGCCTCCCAAGTGCTGGGGCTAAGGATGTGTGCCACTGTGCCCTACTGACATGTCTTACACTGCTTTGACCTGTAGCAGTTTGACTGATCCTTGAAACACTTGCACTCAGGATCACAGAACCCTCATTTGCCAAAGCCAGCTGCCTTGACCAGCTTGCTGTGGCTGCCTATGGCATTTGGAGGCATGACCATATTCCATTTCTATCATTTCCAGCCTGTAAGCACAGTATGCTGGGGCCTCTGCAGGCTCCTCCAAGAGGGCTGCGCCTCAGCCTGCCCCTTTCTCCAGATGAGCTCCTTATTTGCTCACAGCCCTCTGCCCCTACTTCTTCCTGTGAAGTGTTCGCAAAGGGATTTACTTTCCCTGGAGACTTGCTTCAGGACAGCTGAGTATGGGAGAGGGGTTAGCAGTGGAGTGCCTAAGGATGACTGAATTGTGGACTATGTCTTGATTACTTTTGTGCTGTTAGGGAAGCTAATGGAGACTTGCTCTGTGGTTCTTTTTACCCATGCATCTATGTATCTGACCTCTTCAAAAAGGCTTATTAAACAAAAATCCATTCTAGGAATGCTACATTTCTAGCCTAGTTTGTTTCTTCATTGCTGTGACAAAACACTCTGACCAATATCAACTTGAGGAGGAAAGGGTTTATTTAGCTTACATGTCCCCGGTCACAGTGCAGCGGGAGCCCAAGGTAGGAACTCAGGGCAGCAACCTGGAGGCAGAAGCTGGAGCACAGGCCATGGAGGAATACTGCTTGCTTGCTTGCTCCCCTGACCCCTGCTCAGCCTGTTTTCTTATGCAACACAGGCCCACCTGCCCAGGGGTGGCACTACGCACAGTGGGCTGGGCCCTCCCACATCACTCAACAATCCAGAAGGTGCCCCATGGACATGGCCACAGGCCAGTCCAATGAAGGCAATTTCCCAATTGAGGCTCCCTCAACCCAGGTGTGCCAAGTTGACACTAAAGCTCTCCAGCACAGTATCCTCCTTTCCTGACCATACCTTGAGTCTTGGTGACTTCCTGTATGCTAGATTTTCACAGCCTTTGTTTGTGTCTTTCTGTGTTCATCCTCAGCCATTATCTGCCTCACTGGATAGTTTAATAGACATGTGTCTATCAGTGTTTTATGACCCCCTGTAGCAGACACCTCTGGGGCTTCATCACTACCTTGTGGCCTAGCCATGACCAGCCTCTCCTTGTGCAACCATTCTAGCTTAAGTGTGGTCCTGTTTTCCTCAGGGTCTTGAAAATGTTTGTGAGACTGCTTTGGAGCTGGGAGGTGAGCATCCCAGGGAAACATTGTGCACAGGAGGCTGGAAAACAGTGGCCTATCCAGGTAGCCTTGGCAGAGCCATCACAGTGCCTGGAGTAGCATTCTCAGTTGTAGCCCTTTCTTGGTCTGCTTTCCACCTTGTGTCCTTCACTTGATTTTTGTATCACAGTTAAATGACTTGTTTCAAGTCTTTATCTCTGGCTCTTCTTCCACCCAAGTAAAGCTTTGGCTTGTCCAGTGTATTGACTGAGACGTTAGCTATGGTGACTACTTAATTATCAAGAGTTCCATGCAGATTTCTTCTTCATTTTAGATGATGCAGAATTTGCTGTTGGAAGAAGGGGGCCTGGTTCAGGTGGAGAGTGTCAACCTTCAAGTGGCTACCTACTCCAAATTCCAGCCGCAGAGCCCAGACTTCCTGGATATCACCAATCCTAAAGCAGTGTATCCTTTTGACATAAGTTCCTTTTTAAAGAGGGATGCTCGACAGTCATTAAACAGCATGGGGACCTCATCTCTTGGTAGTGGCCAAGCACATCAGGTGCTCTGTGGATCTTCTCCTGTCCCTTTCCAGACACTTCTTAGAATTCAAAGCATGCACCAAGATGCACAGTATTGCCTGTGGGAGGACAGAGTAGTTCACCTGCCTTCAACCTCTAGTCCTCTGTGGAGCCCTGGGCCCTAGCTCGGCCCTGAACTAGGTTATCTAGCCCACTTTGTGCTCAGGACTTAGGACCCATTCACTCTAAGCCAATGAAGTAAGGTTAGATGAGTAGTACATTTTCTGTCTTAGCAAGTAGGAGCTGGACATGGCATAAGCTTTTAATCCCAGCCCTCAGGAGCCAGAGGCAGGCGGATCACTGAGTTCGGGGCCAGCCTGGTCTACATAGTGAGCTCCAGGCCAGCCGAGGCTACAGGGAGACCCTGTCTTAAAAAGACCAAAAAAGAAAAAAAGCAAGTAGGAAGCAAAATTTTAGGTTCTAGTGGTTTTTAAAAATGTTCTCCTCTAAGCTTCAGCTGGGTATATTATTTATGTAAATAAATGTGACCAGTGTGAGAGAGACATGTTTTGTGTGTCCTGTTACATAGCAAGACCCTATCTAAAGAAAACAAACAGCATGGGCAGGTAGAAAGTTTAGAAGGCAAAACCCTGCTTCTATTTCCCTCCATACCTTCTCACTTTCTCTAGGCCGACTGTCAAAAACAGGGTTCTTTTCTAGTAATCATGCCCTGGATGTGAACGGCCATTTTAAGTCCTTTGCTGACCAGGTCCTGGACAGGATGGCCTTAGTGAGTCCCCTACTGGGTGGGTTCTAAACAAATGGACTAGGTTGTTGGATTCTTGGTCTCAATAGTATAGTCAGTGGTAGAGGTGTCCTGTGTTTCAGGCAGGAGGACATCTGTGGGAAGAGCTGTTTAATGTGTCCTTCAGAATGAGCTATAAATATTTTGCTATCAGTGATCAGGAGGGGTCCTACCTATGTGGCAATAGCCTCTAATCTTTGTGTTTTTCCATGTTACAGTACAACTTACCATTAGCTTGTTTTCAGAGGCTTTTTCTTTTTTAAAAGTTTTTTTTTTTTTTTTTTTAATTTTTTATGTGTATGTGTCTTTTTGGCTATATGTGCTCATACATGTGGGTACCTGAGGATGCCAGAAAAAATCATCTTATCCCTTGGAGGTGGAGTTAGAGGTGGTTGTGAGCCCCCCCCACATGGATGCTGAGAACTAAACTTGTATCCTCAGAAAGAGCAGTGCACACTTCTAATTGCTGACCCATCTTCTCAGCCTTTATTTTTAAAATTAGGTGTGTGTGCATGTGCAAGTGAATGCAGGTGACTATGGAGGCCAGAAGAGGGTATCAGGTCCTTTGGAGCTGAAGTTACAGGCAATTGTGAGCTGCTTAGTGTGAGTGCTGAGAACTGAACTTGTGTCCTCTGTAAGAGCAGTGTGCACTTTTAACCGATAAGCCACCTCTCCAACCCTCAGAGGCTTTTTCTATAAATAACTTGTCGTGGGAACAGGGTGTCATCACTTTGGTCACCTGCAAGTCAGCCTGCTATTCCTGGGTCTGACTGATAGGGTCAGTCTTAGTGAGTTTTTTAAGGGCAAACAGACAAAATAAATCCATCCTTAAGAGGCTTTTGGTCGTGGTGGTGCTTGCCTTTAATCCCAGCACTCAGGAGGCAGAGGCAAATAACATGCCAGCTGGGGCTATAGGGAGACCCTGTCTCAAAAAGAGCCCCCCCCCTCCCAAAAAAGGGTTTCTTGAGTATTTGGTCACAGGGATGATATAAAGAACTAAGACAGTATAGAACAGAGAAGTAGGGAGCTGGTACTACAGCATTTGCAAGAGCATGCAGATGAGATGAAGGAGCCTGAGGGTGTAGTCTTAGGACTCAGCTAAGGTCAGCTCTGTTCAGTGGAAGTCAGAGTGCATTCCTTATACAGGAAGTAGTGTTCCATTTGGTTAAAGTTGTGTGGTGTTAGTATCACATGGTACTGTCTACCTGTGGGTAATAACCACAACTCCTCAGAGACTCATTGCAGGTCGCCATGTTGCCTTGACAGCATGTCTGCAGATTAGAAAATGCATTGAGAAACTTTGCCTGTCTGACCACTGGAGATGTGATCGCTATCAACTACAACGAGAAGGTAGGCAAGCCTGGTGTGACCTAAAGTGACAAGACTGTTGAGTTACTATGACTGTTCACCCCAGATAGAAATGACTGATCAAAGCAGTGATCCCATCAAAGACTAATTTGGTGAACCAGTGAATTTATTGAGGTTACTTACAGGAATAGAGGTGAATCAGGGCACTGCATCACTGAAAAGCTGTATCTGAGCATGGGTGTGACTCATGGACATTGGGGTTTTTTTTTATGTTTTTTTTTTTTTTTTTTTTTTTTGTCTTTTTGAGACAGGGTCTCCCTGTAGGCCCAGCTGACCTGAACTCACTATGTAGACCAGGCTGGTCTTGAACTCACAAGGATCCACCTGCCTCTGCCTCTTTAATCCCAAGTGCTGGGATTAAAGATATGTACCACCACGCCCAGCAAAAGTTGGTTTTTTAAAAAAATTTTATTTTTAGTTTTGTGTATCTTATACAGAACATCTTAATCATCCCTTATATCCCCTTCCCTATAGGTCCCTTCCCATAGCCCCCCCCCCCCAAACTGGAATTCATATAACCTGTCATTTGTGTTAAGGCCTGTCGTGTCAGATTAGTGTCCCCAGATGTCCCTGAGTGCAAGTTCATCAACTGGGATCTAGTCAGCCTTTCTAGAGTCCCTCCCTTTAAGAAGATAAGCTCTTCCAATCACCCATCAGTAATCAGCTGCCAATAATTCTTTGACTCAGATTGGGGCCTGCTGTCCATTTCCACAGTTGTATACTGGGTTTTTGTCTGCTTGAGTTTGCATGGGTCTTGTGCATACTGACACCATTGCTGTAGGTTCATATGAGAAGTGTCCCAGGATGCATCTCCTCCCTGGCTCTTAACAATCTTTCCACCCCCTCGTCTGAAATGGTCCCTGAGCCCTGGGTGGAGTCCTGCCCAAGGACCTACGCTCTGTAGACTCTTATTTTCCTGTGTTTTGGCCATTTGTGACCTTTTGTGTTCCTGGCCCTCTGTTGTATGAGGGAGCTTCATTGATGAGGATTTAAAGGTGTATTAGTGTTCTCTTCATCCCTTGTTCTATGTTCCGTGAGCCTTAGGTGTAGAGGTTGCATCCTAGATGTACCATATAGACTTGGGCAATTCACAGACAATCTCTTGTGTGTGACCAGGTGTGGAGCTCTGTAATAATCTCTGTTGAAAAGAAGCTTCTTTGATGGTTGATGAATAGGATACTTGTCTATAGATTTAAGGATTCATATTTTGCATATAGTAAGAAATTACATTTGTCTAGGGATGTGACAGCCTTGGGGTTTTCTCTAAGATTTATGACCTCTCTAGCTATGTGTATTTGGCTAGGTTTATAATACCACACATGAGTTTCCTCCCATTGAATGGGCTTTAAGTCAATTAGGTAGCTGTTGATTACCCCCAAGTTAAAAGTGCCACTACTGCACCAGTGTCATTTGCTGTGCTGGTCATTGATGTGGTTATTAGGCCTTAAAGCTGGGGTTGGACCATCCATTGATGGTCTCCCTTAGCAGCTTGTGTAGTGCTCTCCAAAGCTATGAGAGCTAGCCTTCAGGAGAAGTGGCTTCCAGGTTGACTAATGGAAGTTGTATTAGTGGAGTTCCCTGTACAATTTGCTGGCAGTGACTTCACAAGAGGGTCTCCTCAGCAATTGTTTACTGCTTACATAACTCAGGGAGGGGCCTCCAAAGTCTAGGAATATTCTTATGGGTTTCATGAGCTTCCCTCCTCCTTCTACAAGAAAATATTTGAATCCACAAAATACCTGTGTACTTTCCATTCTGGTATTGATTAGGTCTTTCTAAAGAGAGCTTTTATCATCTAATTGCTGTGTACTGTTTCCTTTTTTAAAATGTCCTGGATTTACATTTAGAGCCTTCATTCACTGAATGTTATGGTTAATCTTGATTATGGACTTAATGGGATTTAGAATCACCATGTAAACACCCCTGGGCATGTCAGAGAGTTTGTAGATAGGGTTGAGATAGGAAGACTACTCTAAATATGGGTGGCACCATTCCATGGGCTGAGCTCCTGGACTGAATTAGAAGAACTGACCTGAGCACCAGCATTCCTGTTTCCTGACTGTGGATGCAATGTGACGCACTCCCTCTAGCTCCTGCTCCAATCTTTAGCCAAAATAAACCCTTCTTTAAGTTGTTTTTGTTATATATTTTGTCCCAACAATGAGAAAAGTAATTGTTTTAAGGATTGATTGCATTTATAGGCAGATAAACTATATTTTTATTTGGTGTATTTCTGATGCTGTTAAAAACATCCATTAAGAGGCTAGAGATGGTTCATCAGTTAAGAGCATTTACTGTTCTTGCAGAGGACCCAAGTTTGGTTCCCAGCACCCACATGACATGGTTAACAGCCACCTGTAACTCCAGTTCAAGGGGCTCTAATGACCTCTTTTGGCCTTTATGGGCACCAGACACACATGATGCACATACATACATGCAGGCAAAACACTTATACACATAAAATAGAAATTAGTATATCTTTTAAAAATGTGTTAGGGGACTGGAGAGAAGGTCCAGCAGTTAAGAGCACTGGCTTCTTTTGCAGAGGATCCTGGTTCAATTCCCAGCACCCACATGGCAGCTAACAACCATCTGTAATTCCAGCACCCACATGGCAGTTAACAACCATCTGTAACTCCAGTTCTAGGGTAATCTGACATTTTCACATGTCATGGGTACACTTATGTACGTGGAAACAATGCATGCATATGCATAAAATTTTTTTAAAAAGTGGGCCGGAGAGATGGCTCAGTGGTTAAGAGCACTGGCTGCTCTTGGAGAGGACCTGGGTTTGATTCTCAGCACCCACATGGTGGCTAATAACCATCTGTAACTCCAGTTCCAGGGGAATCCAATGCTCTCTTCTGACCCCCATGGGCATTGCACAACATGGGTGCACTTACATGCAAGCGATACACTTATATACATGAAATGAAAAAAAAAAAAAGTGTTAGAAATGTCTTTGCTGATTGAGCCTGGTGGTGCATACCAGTAATCCCACCAGTTAGTAGAACTGAGGCAACAAGATTATGGGTTCAAGAAGGATGGTCTGGGCTGCAAAGCAATATCCTATCTTTAAAAAAGGTCTTTTCTGTTATCTAAGTCAACCCTTTGGTATGCTGTGAGGAACCAAAACAAGCTGACTACAACCTTGTCCTTGTAACACCCACCCTTGAAAGCGGGCAGGCCTTGGATGATCTGGCCCTGCTGTGTGCAGAATGCTCTTGGTCACCTTGGCAGTAGCATTTGGCTGCTTGAGGACAGTGCCTCTTGGGGTCTGTTCTCATTGGCATCACATTTTGTTTTACTTTAGTCTTCCTTTCACTGCTTCCTGACAGTAGTCTGAATGCCTCTTGTATTCATCCATGATTCTATGCCTCTTAGATATCAGATTCTAGACAAGTTAGGTAGAAGGTGAAATGACAGGTGAGTTCCCACAAAATTCAAGAAGGTATCACTTCTACTGATAGGCATTTTGGGGATAGACTGTTACTAGCAATCTTGGAGTAAGCATTCTTAAAAATTTCTCCTTAGATACTTATCTAATTATCTTCTTAGAATAAATTCCAAGATGTGGCCAGTCTAGTTCAGAAGTGGTATCTTTTACAATACGATGCTAAACTAATTATCTTGTCTAATTGGACCCACATGTGGGGACCAGCATCTCTTGAGCAATGAGCGTAAAGGGAGACTCTTCACCGCATTGTCTCTTCTGAGAGATAGTATCATGGTGTGAAGGTTGTGCCTCCAGGAACTAGGCAGAGAGCCACAATAGGAATGTTGCCTGCCCCTAGTGCTGCCTCATAACTGTTGATTTCTCTGCTCTTTCTGCAGATCTATGAACTGCGGGTGATGGAGACCAAACCTGACAAGGCTGTGTCTATTATTGAGTGTGACATGAATGTGAGTGACTTTTTTGCAATTTCAGCGAGGTCAGGGCCCCAGCAGAGTGTCACACAGTGAGGAGAGTAAGAAGATGCTATCAGAATATCAGGAGGATGTTCCTAGGGAGTGGGAGTGGCCGCTTGCTCCTATACTTAAGTAGCTGGATCCACAGTCAGCTCAGACCTGCCAAGGAGCAGATATTAAGATCTAAGGTGGAACAAATCATTGACACACAGTTCTTGGTTGCTGAGCAAGAAAAGGTTTACACACTGTCTCTTAGTTTATGTGACTCCTAAGGTATCAGATTTTAGAAATAGAAGACAGATTAATGGTTGCCAAAACTTGGGGTCTTTATAGTACTGTTAAGTATCTTAGCTATGGTAATGGATACACAGACCTCTGTGGTGATAAAATTGTATATGACCAATCATACATGTTTACATAGAACTAATGAACTCTCAACAGCAGTGTGTCTGTCAATGTTGATGTTTTGTTAGTGATGTCATAGGAAGTACTGCCATTGGAGAAAATGAGCATAGTGTACAAGGTACATCTTTTTAGTATAAGTTCTTAGAACTTCTGTGAATCTACAGTTGCTTGAATTAAAATAGTTAAGGAAGCTGACTGTGGCCATATCTCAGAATTTTACCTTTCATGTTGAAAACACAGGTGGACTTTGATGCTCCCCTGGGTTATAAAGAACCAGAAAGACCAGTGCAGCATGAAGAATCAATAGTAAGTGATTCTTGTGAGTTCCTTCTGATTAACCATGTCTGTGGTCTTTTCTTTACCCATGCTGCTTTTTTTTAAATTAAATTTTCATTTATTCATATTGTTTGTATGTGTATGGTGGGGGTGTGCATGTGCCACAGCATGTAAGTGAAAGCCATAGACAGCTTGCTGGAGTTGGTTCTTACTTCCACCATGACCATGTGGGTTCTAGGGATTGAACTCGGGTTGTTAGGCTTGGTGGCAATCATTCTTATTCACTGAGTCATCTTGCCAGCCCTTACTTCTACTTCTTTGTGTGGATTCTGCTGGGGGATGGCTGGGTCATGTTCCTGTTTCTTTTCAGTTTGCCTTCTGGAGGCATATGTATTCTAGCAGGTGGGAAATGGAGCAGCACTGGAAACAGTATGGTCTGGGAAAAGCTGTCCGTGTTACTTTCTACTGCTGTGATAAAATACCATGACCAAAAGCGATTTATGGAAGAAAGAGTTTTTTGGGCTTACAGTTCCAGAGGGATAAGAGTCCATCTGGGATCCAGTGCTCAAATATTTGAGCCTAGGGGGACATATCTCACTGAAACTACCACCTGTGCTGAGAAGTTCACCTTTGATTTTTCTGTCTTCCTGTCAGGAGGGAGAAGCTGACCACAGTGGCTATGCTGGCGAGATGGGCTTCCGTGTGAGTACCAGGCAGCGTGTGTCTGTGCCTCCTGAAGGCAGGAACTGTTCTCTGTGATGCTTTGTGAACATCAGCAGGACTTAGACTCTGTACCCATGTATACAGCGCAGGCACTTGTTCAGTTACTAAACCCTTTCATACCACTTTCTTCTGGAATTCTAACAGTCCTGAAAGGCTTCCAATTTTTTGTTCTTTTCAAAACTTAACTAAGCTAGGGCTATGGATGTAGCTAAGAGATAGAGACTTGTTTAATATATGAGAAGACTTGGGTGTGGTCCCCAGTCCTGGAGGGGGTTAGGAATCTACCAAAAAGTCACTAGTAAATAGGTACTCACAAACACTTCCCATAGGTTCATCAGTTGTTAGCACACGTGCTTTGTCTAAAAACATCCTGTTTTTATTTGCCTGTATTATTTGAAAGAAAGCTTCAAACATATTCCTTAGGATGGCTGTTAACAAGGCCTCCCTGGAAGTCAGAAGTGGCTCATATACAGGTGCTGAGGTGCCATGAAGCACTGGGGGAGCTATGACTAAACATTTAAGAAAGTTGGACCTGGGGGTAATGGAGGCCTTAGCTACCCCCAGGTCCTTGAACTGTGGTGCCTACAGAGGCTAGCCAGTCATTGCTGTTGACTGAGTCATGCAGCTCACTTCGGCTCCCTGCAGTCCTCTGAGGGGCTGGATGCAGAGACCTTGGCTGTCAGCACTCCAGGGGATCTGGGCATTGCTGTTAGCTCATACGCCCCTGAGGTCTCTGAGCAGAGGGCATATGACTCTTGAGGCTTAGGACATACTCTCCTGGCTTGCTTATCTAGGCCTTCTCTGGTTCTGGGAATAGACTGGATGGAAAGAAGAAAGGAGTTGAGCCCAGTCCCTCCCCAATCAAGCCTGGAGACATTAAAAGGTAAGCTTGTCCTGACTCTGTCCTTGTGAATGTTTGTCATTGTACAGGAAAGGTCTCTGTCAGCCTATGAGGTAGAAGAACCTTATTCCAGTGCTAGAGATAAAGCCTGACCCAGCAGGCTACTGGGTGGGCTCAGACCCCTGCTTGCCCTCTTGCAGTGGTGGAACATGACACCGTTGGGTCTGGGGACTCATGGTAAAATGCTCCTGGGGGCCATCAGGTCAGGGATAGATATGTGTTGTTAGCTCTCTACTGTGTGTGTGACCAGAAAGAGAATGCTGGGGATGAGTTCCCATGGAACACTTGCAGGGAAGATCTTGGAGGCCAGGCCCTGAGTCCACACCCCTTTCTCCTACAACCAGTGTTTCTGTTAAACCAGGAAAACATTTGCTTCTTGGTTCTCTACCAGAAGGTCCAGGTCAGGTAAAGCAGTGTATCCTGGAGAGTTACCAGAAAGATACGTGATCCTCCTTGCCTTCCTCTTGTCAAAAGCAAGGTTTAGTCCTTCCTAGAATTGACATTTCTCCTTGTCTGTCTTCACAGAGGAATTCCTAATTACGAATTTAAACTTGGTAAGATCACTTTCATCAGAAATTCACGTCCTTTGGTTAAAAAGGTTGAAGAGGTGAGTTTATTTCATTGGTCATGAGAAGTTAACTAGTGGTGACTTGTGGTTTTGTGTTTTTTTTTAGACTTCCCCTTTTAAAAAAATATTTTATTATTTTTATGTGTATGCGTGTATTGCCTGCATGTAGATAAGTGCACCTGTGTCATGCAGTGCCCGTGGAGGACAGAAGAGGCTGTCGGATCCCCTGGAACTGGAGTTAAAGACAGTTGTTAGCTGCCATGTGGGTGCTGGGATTTGAACCCAGGTCTTCTGCAAGAGCAGCCAGTGTTCTTAACCACTGAGCCATCTCTCCAGCCCTGTGACTTGTGTTTTTATCAGTCAGAATAGGGTGCTTCTGTCATATTTTTCCCATTGGGGCCCTGCTGTCCCTGATGGCCTGATTGCTCTGTAGAACTATTGTAGGCTTACCAGCTGAGGGCTCAAGAGCTAACTCTAGACTCTGCCACCAAAATTCTAGGGGTCAGGTGAAAATTGTCTTCAGTTTACTTACTGCTTGTTTGTTTGTTTTGGTATGGGAATTTGAACCTAGGGCCTTGCACATGCTGAGCTGCACCCCCACTCCTTTCTAACCCAGAACTGGAGCTTGCTGTCCACGTGAGTGATTGGAAATGTGAGATGGGGGCAGTAGGGCTCAGTCCTGCACAGATGAGCATTTTGAGACCCTGTGGGCAGACCGGGATGGCTCTGTGGACAGGTGGCCTGGGTATAGGTGCACTTGGTTGCAAGAAATCAAAATATTGACCGAAATCACTAGGGTAATGAGAAGTAGCATGAATGCACAAACTGAAGTTCAGACCTCTGCCAGTATTGCTATAACTCTGGCATTAGGTAGCAATGGTGACTAGCAAGATGCTGGCTCACAGAGCCCTCATCAGGTGCCAGGTACCCTCCATGTGCTTTATAAGTAACATCCCTGCCAGGCATGATAGCACATGCCTTTAATCCTAGCACTTGGGAAGCAGAGGCAAGTGGATCTCTGTGAGGTCTAGGCCATCTTGGTGTATGTAGTGAGTTCCAGGCCAGCCAGGGCTACATAGTGAGACCCTGTCTAAAAAAAAGTACTATCTCTAATTGCTAGAACAGCCCTGTGAGGAGACTGTGGTGATTGTGTTTATACAGATGTGTGGGTACAGAGCTTGAACCCCTAACCACTTCACACCCAGTGTCAGTGCCATCCTGCTCCAAACGTGACCTTCACAATGACATCAGAACAACAGGCCAATATCTTCCTGTCGCAGGAAGAGAGGGCTGCCCTAAAAGCAGAAAGTGTTACCACATGGAAAATTAACCTAGAGTGTTGGGCTCAGAAGAGTTACATCCTGCTGGAGATCACACACTATACAGCCTTTATGGTTTGGAACAAGGCCATTGAAATGTGATGAGTTTGTAGAATACTCATACTAGACCCTTGGATTTCCCAGTTTCTTTCTCAAAGGATCATCACCCTTAGCTGGGCATGGTGGTGGCAAACCTGTAGTCCCAGCAATTAAGAAATGAAGGCAAGAGAATCAGAGAGTTCACAGCCTGGGCTACATGAGATTCCATCTTTAAAAAAAATTCTTGAGGGGAGAGGGGATTCAGGAATAGGATAGAGATCAGATGTGCTGTGAGCCTATTGAGGATGGGCTGTTGGGCCATTTCCAGACATTCTTCACTACTGAACTCTATCCTCTAGCATTTGGGGTGGCCAGCCACAAAGACCATGGTGTTCTCTGCATATCCCACTCCCACTTAACAGCCTTCTCTGGCCTTTAAAGTCCCTTAAGTTGGCACAGGGTTTGTTATAAGACATCTAGGCTCAAAAGGAGCAGATGTGGTAGTGTAATCAGGCCTCCTTCACTTCGTAAAGTCTGCCCACATTTTTCATCAGATACAGGCTGGCTTTCATCTGACTTAGACCTGAGGTTCACAGCCTGACTATATAGATTTACAGAAGGGAGAGTGAGGCTGGCAGGCATGGCTGGATCTGTTTTATCCACAAATATCTTAGTGCGTGGCATTGAAGACATATACTTAGCTTTACTCTATCCTGAAAGTCACTAAAGTTGCAGTGAAAGAATAGGATAATAAAGACTGGAAGAGGAGGTAACTCCAGTAAGATTTTGGCAGAGGGACAAGTGGTACTTGCTTTTAATTGACCATGGAAAGCTACATTCTAAGCTGGGCCTAAAGAAAGCCAAGAGACAGTTTGGTGTAGGTCCCAGAGCTCTCAAAATTCACCTCTGGAAATGAGGGGCAAAAGATAGAATAACTATTACAAAGCATTTAGAGCCATGATACTTTCCCCACACTGCACTGGGGCTATGCCTTCCCACCTCCAGAAGACCTCTTTGAAGGTCACTAGCCTAGGGCCATCTGTTACAGTAGATAGCAAGACCTAACAGATTAAAGGAATGTTTACATCCTGAGTTGTTTGGCTGCTGTTTGGTCCCACACAGTGGCATCCAGGTTTGCTCATAGCTATTGAAGGTTGGAGCTTTTTTTCATTAGCCCAAGAAAAAAAGGCCTAACACTCTGAAGAGTGTTCCTATCTAGTAAATATGTTCAGGTTCCAGGTCTGAGCTAGGGGTATAGCGCAATGGTAGAGTGCTTGGTCAGCATGACCTAAGGTACACTCCTAGCACTAAGGGGGGAGAAAGAAAACTTCAATTCTAATGTTCAAGTAATACAGATTTTGAAAAGCCAGGTATGGTAGTATGCACCTGTAGTTCCAGTACTCATTAGGCTGAGGATTGCTTGAGCACAGGAATTCATGACCAGCCTGGGCAACTTAGAAAGACTTCATCAGCAAAAATTAACAAGTGAATTAATGACAGAAAAGAAGGCAAAGAAAGAATTGTGAAAATGATCTCTTTAATTGGAAGGCCATTAGTTTGCAGTAAATGAATTAGCCCAGATTGAGGCAGAGTAAAGATCTGCTAGTGAGAGGTCAGAGGTCTTAGTAAGGATTAGGGACACCGTCTTAGGATATACACACAGGAAGTTAGGCGGTAGAGCAGTGACTTCAAAAATTCTGACAGGACATGGGAGGAGCTCATGGGGCCCTACTCCTTAGAGCTGAACTATTGGCTGTTGACAAATTCTGGGAAGGGGAGAATCATTGTCTTAATAGTTGTATATCCACTGAGGAGTCCACCAGGTTCCAAACCTGTGGTCACAAAACAAAGCAAAAAGGAATGTGAGAAAAAGATTTGTAGTAAAGAGATGGGTAGATGGGGTGTGTGGGGGGAGATAAGAGAAGGTGGGGCGTGAGAGTTAGGTACACATAGGAAATTGTCAAAGAACAAAATTAAAAATTCTCACAGGAAACCAGGTGCAGTGAAACACAAGTTGTTATTCTAGCACTCAGGAGGCTAAGCAGGATTGTGAGTTTGAAGCCAGCTTAAGCTACATAGAATGATCCTTTTAAAAAAATACTGGGGCTGGAGAGGTGGCTCAGTGGTTAAAAGCACTGACTGCTCTTACAGCAGACCTGGGTTCATTTCCCAGCATCCACATGGCAGCTAATTGTCTGTAGCTCCAGTTCCAGGGGACCTGATAGCCTTTTTCTGACCTCCGAGGACAGTGCATGACATGGGTGCACTTACACACATGCAGGCATTACATTCATACACATAAACAAAAATTCTAAGCGGAAATTTCTAGTCTAAAATTCTGTACCCAACTCTTTTGGGGCTGAATTTATGTCGTAAGTTTCTATGTTATCCTAACCTACAGTACCTCACAGTGTGACTGTTTGGAGATAGGGCCTGTCACAGAGTTTAATTAGGTAAGATGAGGCCACTGTGGTGGACCCTAATCCAATCTGACCCGTGTCCCAGGAAATGGAAATGTGAACACATAGAGGCCAGGTAAAGACTTAGAAGAGTGCTGTATTCAAGGCAGAGCAGCCTCAGAAAAGGCCAAGCTTGCAGGCACCTTGGTCTTATACCCTCATAAATTAATGTCTATCTTTTTTTTTTTTTTGTGGGGGGGGGGTTGTTTTGCCCACTGAGGCACAGTTCTGTCACCTCTGTCCAGTGGTGTGTTGTGCTCAGCGGCTGGTGAAAACTTGATGGATTTGGTAAAGATACTAACCAGGTGTTAGGGAATGAGAGGATCTGGGCGGACTTCTATGGAGATCAGGCTGGCCTTGAACTCTCAGAGATCTGCCTGCCTCTGCCTCCGAGTGCTGGGATCAAAGGTGTACGCCACCATGCCCGGCTTAATGTCTTATCTTTTGAGCCACAAAGTCTTTGGTATTTTGTATGTCAGCCCTACCAGACTACCAACTAACCTACTAATAAAACATCAGATTCAAAGAAAAAATAATAAAACATCGGATTCAAAGAAAAACGTATTTTCTATCATGTAAGAAAAGATATCCCCTCATGAAAAGGTATCCCTCATGAAGCCTTTCTGGGGAATCTACTGCAGGACATACCTCATTAAATGAAAGGATAAGGTAGAAACAACCAGTGCCAGTGCCAGTCATGGTGCACACCTGTAATTCTAGCATTTAAGAGGATCAAGAGTTCAAGGCCAGTCTGTCTACAGAGCAGGAAAAAGGGAAGTCCTAGCTTGGACAGATGAAGTAGTAGATTCTTGCTGTGATTAAATGGATGGAGAAGAAAGAAGTGGGACAAACAGAAGACTGTGCAGGAAAGGAATACACTATATAGCTCAGATGAGATATGCACTTGCATGATTGTCATCACATAATCATTGGCTGGAGAGAGGTACAGCAGACCATAATAGTAGGGGAATGCCAGGTGTGAAGGTGTGCTTTGGAAATCTCAGATTCATCACTCATAAAGGAAAAGCCAAGAGATGGTACTTCAGATTGACTAGCAGTTAAAAAGCATGTGAAAAAATACCTGCTGTTTTCTAGAGTAGTTCAGAACACTCACTGCTCTTTCAGAGGACCCCAGTTCATTTCCCAGCAGTCACATCAGGTGGCTTATAACTGCCTGTAACTTCAGCTCTTGGGGAATCCAATGCCTTTGACCTCTGTAGACACCAGCATTCACATATACAACCAGAGCCATGTGCAATTAAACTGCTTTCCATGGCAGTTTAGCATACTGCAAACCTGGAAGTAATAGGTACATGTGGTGGTGTAAGCCTTGCCCTCTTACATGGTAGAGTTCTTTTGGCCTTTTGAAATATGCCATAAACTCATTGGCTTGAGACTTTGGAATTGAGAAGAGAGTTTATATAAATGTGCAGAAAAGTGACTGACAAAGTTATTTTGGGGTGGTGAAGTTATGGGTGATTTTTCTCTCAGAATATTTTAAATTTTTTTACATCGAAATGATTATTGTGTAAAAGATACACAAATGGCCTCCAAACTATTGTGGTTCCACTGAGTATTTTTCAACTTTCTAATGATGTGAAAATGATGCAAATTCAGTAGAAACTATACTTAGATTTTTGAAATTTGATCTTTTGTGGGCTAGTGTGATCCTTTACATGATGGACAGCGCCACATGATCTCAGGGGAAGCAATCAGAACACTGGTGTGCTTGTTAAGCTGGGGCAGTTGGTAGTTTAGGTATATGAAATGCCATTTGTCTTAATAATGATAGCTTAAGTTGGGAGGCGGGTGTTGTGCATTCAACATGAAAACAAAGGTAGTAATAGACTCATAGTTGTGATTTGTGGTTTGTCAGTGCCATAAACTGATTCTAGAGTCAGTTCTTAACTCTGCATAATAAAGTAGGGAAAATGGATTAATGATACATGAGGCCATAGAATAAGGCAATTTGGGGGGCTGGAGGGATGGCTCAGCAGTTAAGAGCATTGGCTGTTCTTCCAGAGAACCTGCGTTTGATTCCCAGTACCCATGGCAGCTAACAATTGTCCGTAACTCCAGTTCCAGCAAATCTGACACCCTCTTCTGGCCTCTTGGGGCATTGCATGCATGTGCTGTACTTTCATACATGGAGGCAAAACACACATACCTATAAAATTAAAAAAAAAATTTTGTGTGTGAACTTCCAGGAGTTTCTGAAAATAGTATCTTATTTTCCCACCTAGGATGAAGCTGGAGGCAGATTTGTCGCTTTCTCTGGAGAAGGACAGTCACTGCGTAAAAAGGGAAGGAAGCCTTAAGTCCAAGGAAAATAAAAGAATTAATCGCAACATACTGGCTTATAGTTACTGGCTCTGACATGTTTTAGACTCTGAAAAGTTCAGAGAATGCTGTTATTTAAGGTTTGTTTAGAATTACCTAAGAATTATGAAGTTTGTCCTGGATGTGGAACAGCAGAATTTCAAGGTTGTGAGCTGAATTTGGGAGAGAAAGAGCTATCTCTGAGGTCTGGAGGGTGCCACTTCTTCATGTTTTCAGCTCAGAGCTCTTCCTCGGCCTTAGGAGAGCATTCCCGTTTCCGAGGAACTCAGTGAGGGGATTGGACAGCTGTAACTTGTTCTTTAACAGTTTTCCTTTACCCAGCTTGGTTACATAGACAATATAGTTAGCCATTTTGTAGTTGTTTCACCACTCTGGCTGCAAGTTTAGTATTTGAGAAATACTGTTTTTATTTTTATTTTACATAATGACTTGTCTTCAAAAGTGCCATTGCTTAGAAGGGATCTGATCCAGATGAGTTCACACTTTTTTTTTATTTTATATGGAAATAACTCCTGGCTATTGAGTGAGGCTGTTCTGTAATAAAGCAACTCTATGATGAGGCCAAATGTGATTGGTAGAATGAATAAATGCTAAAGATACATTCTTTTTTACCCTTCCACAACCCCCCCCCCTTTGCAGTTTTATTTATTATCCAAGCTTCTGCTGGCCTGTCCTTTATTTCTTATTTGTTTTTAAAGTGTTGGGATTGAACCTAGAGCCTCATGAATATTAAGCATGCCACTCTGCCACACCCCCAGGTTTTTTTGTTGTTTAATGTTTTAATTTGGCCTCAGATCTGCACTTTGTATGATATGAGATTTTTGACATGCTAATCCAATTTAAAGTTTGTTCCTTGAGAATTCTAATTCAAGAATTTAAAATAAAAAGTTGATGAAAATTTGACTTGCCTCTAGCTGTTTGATAAGGTACTGTCATGGATTGGTGCTTGGCCCACTAGCTAGACATTGGGGAAAGCCTGTTACTAGAAAAATGCTTCTCTGAGACTTCTGGAGATAGAAGATCAAATGAAGAAATTCCCTGATATGAGGAGAGGGGATGGTCAGGCCTAGCAAGGTCCCCCTGGATGGGGTGCTTCCTCTCCAGGTTGGTGGCTCAAGTGTCCCCCACGGGTCCTTAGTGTGGAACACCCATGAATGTCATGTTCAAGGCTCCCAGCTCTGGCACACATCACTGGCCTAAATGTGGTTTTGGAAGGTATAAATGCTGTGTTGACCTACCAGCCCTGTCAATTGGGGATGTCACTAGCAATAAGGGGGCCTCCATATCCTATTGATTAACTTAAAAAAAAATGTCTCTGTGCAGATGGGGAGATCAGAGGACAACTAGGAAACAGGTTGCTGCTTCCATCTTGTGGGATCCAGGGATCAAACTCAGGAAGTCATCAAATGCTGTTAGCTTTATGTTGGCTAACACTTTAAAGGGAGACTTAAGTAGATATGCCAGTCCCATTCAGAGAACCACTGTAGGTTTTGCAAGATCTTTACACCCCGAAGTATGTTGCTCCTTTATTGTGGCTGTTTGGATGTGGCTCTGTTTGGATGACTGTTTCTTGGTCTCCAGTTCCAGCCAGTGTTCCTTGGACAAGTTCTTTGATCACTCCACACCCACTCCCCCCACCCTCCCCGCAGTGCACCATACGTCCGACCAACCGTGCTTACTTTGTGAATTCACCTACACCCTTAAGTGTATGCTCAGGCAAGAGGTAGTCTCAGCCCTGGGAGGTGGGCTATCCTGAATTGACCCTGTCTGTACTTGAAAAAGTGAGTCTCATATTTGAAATTTGAAAAATAAAACCTTGGAGCTGGACGGAACCACAGGGTTTCAGACAGCCAACCACATAGCTTTGCAGCCCCATTCCTGCGAATCCCATGCCGACTTCAGGGGTCATCTTCTAGGTAGCACCACCTCTCAACTTCAAGCCTCCTGCTCCGTGCACAGTGCGGCCTCGTACAGTCATTAACTCAACTTGGACATCCGGTGTCGTTGCGAATGTACTTGTAGTTCATTGGTTCAAGTAGCTGTCGATCACACGGTGCCAGGTTTCCATAGTTTTCATTGGCTGGATGAGCGAGGAGCCTTGGCGGTTGTCTGGACATGGCAGACGTTGGAGGCTGGCAGGTGAGTGTGGGGGCCTCCGGGGTCCCTGGTGGGGTCGGGCGCGGGCGGGCGGTGGCGGTAGCCCGGCCCTCCCCGTGGAGCGTCTCCCACGCTGTCTCTCCCTGCAGCCGCCTCGGCCCTGCGAGGCCTACCGCGCGGAGTGGGAGCTCTGTCGCAGCACCTGGCACTTCCTCCACCACTACTATGTGTACGGCCAGCGGCCAGCCTGCCAGCAGTGGCTGCGCGACCTGCTCAACTGCCGGGACTGGGAGCAGCGCCGCAGCGCCGAGGCCCAGGTGCGCGCTGGGGAGGCCGGGCAGGCCCTGCGGGCTCTCCTCTCGGGTTCCCTGCTTTTCTGAAATACTCCGAATTGACGTTATGGCCGCGTTACTGACAAGGAGCGAGGCAGAAAGGAGATCTAGGGTGGTTTGGGGAGAGGGGGACAGTCGCCCGGCGTTAGGGTCATCATCCCGCGGAGGGTGTGATGTTGCTGGCGCGGGGACCAGGAACCGGCCTTCGCGCTGCTCCGGGGACTCGGAGGGAAGAGAAAGGCCCAGTTGCCTGGTGCAGGAGAGTACGCTGTAGAGGCTAGGGCATGAGAATGGACCTTGACGGAGTTGAGAGTAACCTAAAAATGTGCAAGCTCACATGATTTGACTTCCTTTGGAAGGTCAGTTTGGCTGCTGGAGTGTGGAGACTATTGTGGAGGACAGAGACCAGTAAGGAGGTCGTTGCTGAACTTTTCCTAGGGAGATGTGAAGTAACCTCACCCTAGATAGGCAGTGGGATAGCGACCAAAGAAAGGCTTCCACCTAATCTAGCTTGGTGAACCAGTGAATTTAATGGGTCACTTGCAGAAGCGTGGGTGACTTAAAGTTTGCACCACTGGAAAGCCCACCCCAGCCTGGTGGGGAGTCCTGGAAGCTGTGTTCCCGTTCCAGGACCTCCCTGCACAACTGCCAAGCAGCTCCACATCCTCTTTCCTAACCCTGGGGAGAGGTCTTGTGAATTGACTCTCAATTTTCATGTGCTTCCTTTTCCTTGGCTTCCTGAGTCTTGCGAGCCTCCCCCCTTCCTCCAGGAAGGAGTGCTTCAAAGCTGTGGAAATAGGTCTGCACAGTTGGGTCCCATCATAAACTCATTAAGCCAATAGTTGTCTCCCTGGGTGATCTTGGATTCAGGAGAGATAAAGAGAGCTCTGCTGTACTGGGGCACACTCCAGTTGAGAAGGTAACTGTTGCCTTGTGGGAGGCATAATGGAGAAACACCAAGAGGAAACTTGAGGGTGCACTGGGTTTGGGGAAGCACCAAAGAACAGGAAGTTAGGTGTTAAATGTGCCTGAATAGTCTGAAACACAAACCAATGAGGAAACCATGTTGCAGAATAAACAAACAAAAAGACCTCAAAATGATGGCAAGTTCCCCTAAAGTGACAGTCACAAACATGACAGAAAGCTTGTTTGTATGGCAATTGATTGGAATCTTACTGTAACCATAAATTAGCCCTTATTGGTGTGAAAATGAAGATTATTATGAATAGAGAAATGGCCAAAGCACTTCACTATAAAACAGAACACAGGGGAAATTCATTGTGTAGCCCAGGCTGAAATGGCCAGGAGCATTCTGTACATTCTAGAATGTACAAAAATACATTGATGAAGAGATGTCCTTTTTTTTTCTAAATTTCTTCTGCCACAATTAACATATGACTCTATACAAAGACTAATTTTTTTGACTAATTTCACTACTTTATTTCAAATCCACCAAAGTGTTTGCAGTGTCTTTAAATATTGTGGAGACTGATGAATTAAAGAGACCAGAGTTCATGAATTTTAGGTCTGAAATTGTTCAGACTAGCCTTGACCTCACAGAGCTCCACCTGCCTCCTGACTGTTAGGATTGAAGGCTTGTGCTACCATGTCCAGCAATGATTCCTTTAAAAACTTTAATAAAAAATTTTTCATATGTGTGTGTGTTACGGTATGATTGTGTGCCCACATTGCATATGGAGGCCCAGGGTTGACATCGGGTGGTATCTTCCTCTCTCATCACTCTCCGCTTTATACATTGAAGTGAACTCACACTAAACCCAGACTTCCAGGAATTCCCAGTTTCTGCCTCCTGTGACCTGAGATTCCAGGTGGACCTCCACACCCACCTGGGTTTTTTTATGTGAGTTCTGGCGATCCAAACTCCAGCTGGTCCTCATGCTTGTGTAACAAGTGCTTTACCTGTCTCCCCAGCTTCTCCTATAGTATTTTGTTTAATGAAAATAAGTAAGGAGTAGAAAATAAGTAGAAAAAGTGAAAATAAGTAAGGCAGCAGAAAAGCATTTCATCTTTAGGGAACCATGTGATAGTAGCTCTAAACTTTGGGGGAAGGAGGTGTGGAGGAAGCTGTTTACTGTCAAAGCAGGGATAGAAACCTGGAGGGGGGAGTCTTTCATGTTCCATTTTACAATTATTTTTTTCTTTTTGTATTTTCTTTTTATGTGTATGAGTATATTCCCTGCATGTATGTGATTGCACCTGTGTCATGCAGATCCCCCAGAACTGGAGTTAACAGACAGTTGTTAGCTACTATAGAGGTGCTGGGAATTGAACCCAGGTCCTCTGCAAGAGCAGCCAGTGCTGTTAACTGCTGAGTCATCTCTCCAGCCCCTATTTTGCAATTCTGATTGCTGCTTTTTGTTTTTGAAACAGGGTGTCATGGAGTCTGGGCTGTGCTCAGACTTGCTTTGTAGCTAAGGATGGTCTTGAACTCCTTATCATCTTGTCTCTACCTCCTGAGTGTTGGAATTACAGGCATGGGCCACCACACTCAGCTTCTAATTGCTTCTTAAGCAGTCATAACCTTCTTTAGTGATAGGATCTGGCTACATAGCCCATGCTGGTCTTGAACTCCAGATCCTTTTACGTCAGCCTGCCAACTCCTGGGATTTACAAGCATGTACCACAACTCCCAGTTTAAGAATTGAAACATTTTGGGGACTGGGGCTGTAGCTTAGTTGTAGGGCACATGGTTTTGACTTATATGTGTGCCTGGGGGTCTTCAGCATTGCAGAAAACAAAACCCCAAATTTCAAATAAGTTGAAACAGAAATAAGCAGAAGATTAAATTACATGTGTAGAGGCCTGCAAAGCACCTGGTGTGTACCCAGAGCCACAGCTAGGGCCCCAGCTGTACTATACTGTCCTGGACCTTTGCTGGTGGCAGTGGCTGACAGAAGCTGGTGTGATAAGTGAAACTTGCTTCATACACCCAGTGCTGGTTCCTAGCAGTACCTTCCCATTGCTGTCTACTCCCCATTCAGTGGTCACTTTCAGGCTTGCCAGGAGAACTTACCCCAGACTCATCAGGCTAGCTATAGCTGAGGCCTAGGAGATGTTTTAAAATGGTTGAAGTTAAGAACTATGCATGGTGGCACATGCTGTAATCCCAGCATTCATGAAGTAAAGGCAGCAATATAAGAAGTTCAAGGTCAAACATGCTGAGTTCCAGGCCAGCATGGGCTATTTGAGACCCTGTTTTAAAAAAACAGCCAGGCATGGTGGTGCATGCCTTTAGTCCCAGCACTCCAGAGGCAGAGGCAGGCGAATCTCTGAGTTCGAGACCAGCCTGATCTACTTATCAAGTTCCAGATCAGCTTAGCAAGTTCCAGGTCAGCTGGGACTACAGAGAGACCCTCAAAAAGACCAAAAACAACAACAAAAAACAGGGCTGGAGAGATGGCTCAAAGGTTAAGAGCACCAGCTGCTCTTGCAGAGGACCCAGATTTGAATCCCAGCACCCACATGACAGCTAACAACTGTCCATAACTCCAGTTCAGGGGAATTCAATGCCGCCTTCTGACTGGGCATTGCATGGCTCAGGTGCACTTACATACATGCAAGGCAATATATTCATACACATAAAATAAAAACAATAGATATAATACTTGAAAAAAAAAAACCCAAGCAATACAACATAAAATTGCTAAAGATGATCTATGGAATAGTTTTTCCCAGTGGCTTCTGAGAAAGAATGGCCTAGATCTACATATGCTAATGTGAAACATCTGTCAAGGTACATGATATTTAGAAGCAGCTGAACTTCAGAGCTGTGTGTACCATATGTGCCTCCTTTCAGCCAGCTGTTCAGAAGAGGGTGGTTTAGCTACCATGTGACAGTACTGGGGCCCTGGGATACGGGGGTGATGCTATAACTAACTAGAATCTCATTTGTATAGCGATCCCTCTGTGAGAGTGAACAGGCACGGGTCCAGGCACGGAAGCACACCCTGGTATGGACCCTGAGGCAGAGTCCCCCTGCAGACTGGCACCTCCCTCTACCACAGGAGAAGGACGAATGATGGGTGACAAGCAGCTGCGACCCTGCCCTTGGCCTGTACATCTTCCTCAAGTCTCTTTCTTGCAGGGCTGTTGCACAGCTTTATGGACTTTGACTAGCCCAGTCTAATGGATCTCAGTGAGCTCCTGCTTGACTTGGAACACAGCAAGACATTTCCAGGTCTAACTGCCCACTGCTCACCTGTATCAGGGCATCTCATCACTGATACTCTGAAAGGCAACTGTGTCCACAGTTACAGGAAGCTAAGCATTATGGCAAGTCTCTGTGAGCACCAGGTCAGTCTATCTTGTCCATTCCACCACCTCTGGGAACAACCACACCAGAGGTGGCAGTCCTGAGGTATAGGAATCTACACTTGAGTGGTAGCCTGACCTTGTGGATGCATGGTGGTGGTAGGTTGGTCAGAAGAAGGTGGCTAAGCAGTTCTGCTGTGAATGGGTCTTCTTCACCATGAGAAATGGGTCACCATGTCTTGGGGCTGATGATTACAGTGTAATCCAAGCATGGGGTTCATACTTCTTAGCTCCCGCAGATACAGGGAAGGCATACTCAGTGGGCAGGGCAACTTGCCTTTCTGCACCAGCACCTGTTACTGCTCTTGGAAACCGCATTTTAAAGAAATGCATAGCTACAGAACACATTCTATTACAGGAATCACAGAGTCTAGACTCAAGAAATCAAAGTCCAAAGGCAGGGGGTGTGGGACACTTCAAGTCTAAGTAAGATGGGGTTGAGGTCTCCTAATTTCTCATAGTTTTTATTGTATCAAGAATCATGTTTGATTCCCAATACAAGCTGAAATTTAAATCCACATTTGTTAGACTTTATACCTAACAAAGCTATGCTCAGACAGCGTATTTTGTTCTTTTGTATTGTTTATATAATGTAGTCTCTATCTCTCTTCCCCTCCCTCATTCCCTATCTATCTATCTATCTATGATCTATCAACCATCAATCGATTGATCTATATTATGAGCCACCAAGACCATTAGTTTTTGAACAGGTCCCTTTATTACTAATAAGATGATTAAATATCTGCTGGCCTATGTGATGCCCAGCATGCTCCCAGCTCCCTGCTCCCTTCCTGGCCACAAGCGTTAGGTTATACATCTTTCAGGCAAAATTATTGATCATTTCAGAAAGGCACATTATAGAATAAAATGTCCCTCACGTGTTTTCTTCTGCATTCTTATGAATGATGCAGGGTTACACGCTTACAGGATCCCAAGAGTAAAGAAGAGTATAAAGAAAAGACAGCGTTCCCCTGTTCCAGGGCAATCTCATCCAGCTACGGAGTCTTTAGCATAGCTGTGGCTGGTTTAGGAATAAGCATTTCTAGCCAGTGAGGGGAGAGAGACGGTGCTGGAGATGTATAATGGTTTTTTTTCATTGAGTATCTGGAATGGCAGCAATTACCCTGGGGTCTGGGATAGAGCTGAACACACAAGTAAAGCCTAGAGAGGCCAACTTCCCACTACACCACACTTCCTGTCACCTGCTTGCTCAAAGCCATAAGCGAAAACTCATACACAGCTAGAATTCTTCTTGTTCCTGTTTGCTCTCTGAACGTTGAGTCCCCCTCTGCAGTGCCATCATTGTGTTCTGCCTTCCTTCACTGCTGCAAATTCCACATCAACATATCTGAATAGAATGTTCCTGCATTTACCCTGGATTTTCTTTTTCTTTTTTTCAGTGTTGGGAAACAGGCTTAGGGCCTTGTACATGCTATGTGCATGCTGTACCACTGAGCTGTGTCCCCAGACAAGATCACAGCTTTGAGTCTGACAGATTGCCTTCTAAAAGTTTCTGTGGTACTTTAAGGGAAAGACATAAACATTAAAAATCAGTAAACATGAGTCTCTGGTTGGGGATGTGACATAACTTGTTCTGCAAGCACAAGGAACCTACGTTTGATTCTCAGCACTTCAAGAAATAAAAAACAAGAGTAAAAACTCTGGCAGTCCACCATAATTATAACCTAAGGACTTTGGAGGTAGTGGTAGAATGATGAGGAGTTCAAGGCCATCCTTGGCTACATGAAACTGTCTGAAACACAACAAAACCAAACCTATAGTGATGGTGCTACAAAGAGAACACAGGAATAAGATAAAGCAGTCCCTTTTGAACCTTTGGACAAAACTCCATAGTAACAAGAACATATTGTACATTTTGTTACACTGAAAAAAGTGTTACAAGAGTGCTTATCTATAATAGGATAAAATGTGGCCATTTTTAAGAAGCTACTATGTATGGCAATGTGGATACAACTCAAGGAAATTATGCTGATTAAAAAAAGCCATCTTAAAAGGATACATGTAAGTGTGACTCCATTTTTGTAACACTGATGAAATACATAATTACAGAATACAGGTAAATGTTTGGGAGTGGGTAGTATGGGAAGAGGGGAGTCATTCAAGTTTGTCCCATCCTGAGAAAATCCACACAGCTTGACTGGTAACTTTCCAGGGTTATGTGATGAAATTGTGTTCAGCAGATGCTGCACACACAAATGAGTGCAAATATAAGTGAGGAAACGGAATATGCTCTGTGGAGTAACAAGGTCATTTTCTGGGTCTTGACATTCCTAACTGTGTAAGCTGATTTCCCTGGGGACACAGACTAGGAATACAGAACCTCCCTAGACAGTTTCCTCTGCTATTAATTATAACTGTAATAGTGTCAAAATAAAAAGGTAAAGGAAGCCAGATGTGGTGATTATCCTCCTTTAATACTAGCACTTGGAAGGCTGAGTCATGTGGATTGTGACTCTTCAAGGCCAGCAGTCTTGAAAAAGAAAAAAAGTACTACTTCTCTGAAAAGGGAGAGTTGGCTTTGTTTGGGCAGGAGGAAGGCTGCAGCAGGAGTGTGGATCTGGATGAGGAGGCTGTAGCCTTGCCAGCCCAAGAAAGTCCCATAGGGTTCAGGGAACCTGTGCTGACAGGATGAGAATGCTGTAAGCTGTGATCGAGGGCCTGGGTGGGATTCATTTTATAGAAACATCTGTCTGCTCCATAGAGGAGGGCTTGAAGTGGGCATGCCTAATGTGGGCAGTGTTGGCTACGGAGGCAGAACAGGTAAAAGGTGACAATGGCTTGGATGTCAGATAGCTGAGGGGGGTTAGCATGCAGTGTTAGGCTGAAAGGTCTGAGTGGTGGAACCAAAGGACTTAGAATCCCTATGCTATGCTTTTTTTTTTTATACTTAGGTTTTTTATATTTTATATTTATTGAATTTTTGTGTATTTCATACATAACATCTCAATCTTAATCATCTTTATACCCCCTCCCCACTTGTACCCTCCCATAGCCCCCCACTGGGATTCATACATTCTGTCATTTGTCTAAGGCCTATTGTGTCAAATCAGTGTCCCTAGATGTTCCTCAGTGCAAGTTCATCTGCTGAGGTCTAGTCAGCCTATCTAGTCTCTCGCTTTCGGGAAATCAGCTCTTCCTCACCTATCAGCAGTCAGTTGCCAATATTTCTTCAGCTAAGATTGGGGTCTGCTGTCCATTTCCCCAGTTCTATGCTGGGTTTTTGTCTGTTTGAGTTTGCATGGGTCCTGTGCATGCTGATACCATTGCTGTAGGTTCATATAAGCAGGGTCCTAGGAGCTTTGTAGACTTCATTTCCATATGGTCTTGCACCTCTTCCCCGACTCTTACAGTCTTTCCACCCTCTCCTCTGCAATGGTTCCTGAGCTCTGGGTGGGTGTAGATTAATATAGGAATCCTGTCCAAAGATGAGCATTCTGCATACTGTTAATCTCTACACTTTCGCCATTTGTGGCCATTTTGTGTTCCTGGGCCTCTGCTGCATGAGGGAGCTTCATTAATGAGAATTGAGATATTCACTATGGTCTTCTTTACCCCCTTGTTCTATGTTCCGTGAGCCTTAGGTGTAGAGGATGCATTATAGATATGCCACTTAGACGTGGGCAATTCACAGACAATATCTGTGTGTGACCAGTTGTGATACTCTGTAATAATCTCCATCTGGTGCAAAAGAAGCTTCTTTAATGAGTGTTGACTGCGATATTTGTCTGTAAATATAAGGATACATATTTTGCACATAGTAAAAAATTACATTAGGGATGTGAAAGTTTTGGGGTTTTTTCTAAGACCTATGACCTCTCATATGATGCTGTAATCCTAGCACTATTTCCTTCTATTGAGTGGACTTTTAGTCCAGTTAGGTAGCTGTTGATTGCCCCCAAGATAAAAGTGCCACTACTGCACCAGTGTCATATGCTGTCTTGAAGTTGGTGTTGGACCATCGATTGATGTTCTCCCTTAGCACTTTTCCTATGCTACATTTTAATGCAGGACTGTTAAGAGGTTAAAAAGTGAACCACACACTATAGAGAGCCCAGAAATAAATCTTTGCATATATGGTCAAACATGTTTTTGTTGTAGTGGTGGTGGCAGTGTTTTTGCTAGAGTTGGAACCCAGGGCCATTTACGCATGCTAGGTAAGCAGTCTAGCACTGAATTGCACTCCTAACCTGGTTAATCTTTGACAGAAGTACCAAGATCATTCAGTAGGGAAAAGGATGGTTGGTTGATGTTGACAACTAGGCATCCTTATGTGAAGGTGGAGGGACAGGGACTGGGGAGATGGCTCAAGGGGTAAAGCCAGGCATAGGGGCTCAGGCACTTGGAAGACAGGAGGACTGATGAAAATTTGAGGCCAGGCTGGGCTACATTATTGAGATCAGGCCTGTCTGGGCTAGAATAAGACCTCATCTCCAGCCAGGCGTGGTGATGCACGCCTTTAATCCCAGCACTTGGGAAGCAGAGGCAGGCGGATCTCTATGAGTTTGAGGCCAACCTGGTCTATGTATGGAAGAGGAGCCTGCCAGGAACCTAACAGTCTACATAGCGAGTTTCAGGCCAGCTGGGGCTACAGGGAGACCTTGTCTCATAAAAACAAAAAAGACATCTCAAAAGAAAATCAAAACAAAAAATTGCAAACCATAGTAACTGACATTAAAAGATAAAGATTTCATGTACATTTGAGATTTTTTTTTTTTTTTTTTTTTTGGTATTTTTGAGACAGGGTTTCTCCGTAGCCCCAGTTCTCCTGGAGCTCATTATGTAGACCAGGCTGGCCTTGAACTCACAGAGATCTGCCTGCCTCTGCCTCTGCCTCCCAAGTGCTGGGATTGGGTCAAAAGACTATTAATGGGCTAGAGAGATGATTCAGTGGTTAAGAATGCGCCTCCTCCAGAGGACCCAAATTCAGTTCCCAGCACCCATACTGGGCAGCTCACAACAACGTGTAATTCTAGCTCCAGGGGATCTGGCCTCTTGCTGGCCCGGCAGGAAGCAGTATTTTTAAGCTCAAATGAGGTCATTAGAGTGGGCCCTGTACCAACATGAATAATGCCCTAATAAGAGACAATAAAAGAAAAACATTCATGTGATGGTAAGAAGATGGCTGTGATGGCTAATCCTGGGTGTCAACTTGACTGGATCTGGGATTAACTGAAATGAGAGAGGTCTTCTTGATTGGATCATCTGAAGTTGGAAGACACGCCCTAAATGTGGGTGTTACCTTCTGATGGCAGCCGTATAAAAGACCAAGGCAGAGGAGATCACTTTCCTTTTTGTTGCTTGCCTTCTCTCTCGCTGGTGAGTTTGTCTTGCTGCTGAAGACTAGTCAATCTTTTGGATTCATCAGACCTTCAGCACCAGATATTAGGACTACTGAGACATCCAGCCTCGTGAACTGAGCGACTACAGATTCTCAGCCTCTCCAGTGTGGTGCAGCCATTGTTGGACTACTCGGACTCTATCCTGTGAGCTAAGCTGATAAATCCTTATACATATATATTCATTCTACTGGTTCTGTTTCTTTGGAGAGCCCTGACTAATACAGTGGCCATTTGTAGGCCAAATAGGCAGCCTCAGGAGAAACCAAGTATATTAACACTTGGACTTGGGGGAGTTCTAGAAAGTGTTTCTGCAATTTAAACTGCTCACTGTATGCTATTTTGTTGTGGCAGCCAAAGCAGATAATATATTCACCATTTCAGGGTGTTTTTTTTTTTTGAGATGGGGGGGGGTCTCACACTCTGCCCCAGGCTAGCCTTGAACTCATGGCAATCTTTCTGCTTCAGCTTTCCAAGTGCTGGGATCACAGGAATCATTCTGGATTAACTGCAGTGGGTAGAGAGACTAATTGTAGTGAATAAAACAGAGCCCTGGGTCTCAGCCAGGCCTCACGCTCTCCTGATGGACAGAGCAGTGTTAACTAAGATGTTCCTGGCTTGCCCTACTCACTAAAGCCTCCCTTCCTACCTTAAAATCTGAAGAGAAGTTTTACAACTGTTTCAGGGGGAAAGTCCAGATTCTGTCACACCTGCCCAACTGGCAACATCCTGCATGGATTTCACCTTGACTCTGGGTTTTTATTAGGGTTCCAAACCACAGCAGCCCTCCCTGTCTTCAACAGGGCCTCACGGACCTCGGACCTTGGAAGCCCCTGAGAAAAGGGAACTGAGTTGATAAGCACCCTGGTCTTTGAAGTCAAGGGAAGCAGACTCTTCTAAAAGGCAGCCTGCCTTTCCTTTGATCTCTGAAGACAAGCAGATTCCACCTTTTAACCAGAGACTTCAGGAGCCGCTTTAGTACAGCAGTTTTTCCCTTGTCTTAAGAGGACAAAAATAAACACTTCCTGACCCAGATCCTGGCTGGCAGATGGAAAGGAGCTGGTTTTACAAACCCCACTTTTCCTGCTCCGCCCCCCCACCTGATTTTTCCCAAAAACCTTCCCGCCTTCTGCACCCCAAAGTCCCCTTATAAAAGCCCCAGCTCACAATCTGTGGGCTGACATTTTCCCTTCCCCGAAGGGAACGTGTCCCGCTCGAAATAAAACTCATATCCCGCTGAGTTTTATCTGTGTCTTGGTGCTTTTTCCCCCCCATCAGTATCCTCTGGCTATCAATTTTGTGCCTTCTGCAAACAGTATTTTCACAACATAAGTGGAATTTAAAAAAAGAATTTAAGGATTTAAAATTTTTTATTTGTGTTTGTGAATGTCACATGAATGCAGGTGCCCTCAGAGTCCAGAAGAGGGTGTCTGATCCTCTGGAGCTGGAGTTAAGGGTTGTGAGCCACCCACTGTGGGTGCTGGGAACTGAAATCAGGTCTTTTGTAAGAGCATGAGCTCTTAACCATCTGGAGGTCAGTGACGTCCTTTTGTCCTTGTCTTACCAGCACCTGAGAGGTAGCATCCACCCTACCCCCTCCCAACCACAGGTGAATTAACTTTGATTAGAACATAAGGCAGCCGGGTGTGATGGGGCATGGTGGCGCACACCTTTGATCCCAGCAGAGGTAGGTGGATCTCTGTGAGTTTGAGGCCAGCCTGGTCTACACAGTGTGTTCCAGGCCAGCTGGGGCTACTGGGAGACCCTGTCTCAAAAAGACCAAAACACAAAACGTAAGACAGAGATGCTTTTGATTATATTTTATTTATTAGCAGGATGTCTCATCTGCAGAAAGTAGACTTCAGCCTTGGTCCTTCTGACCCCTGGGGCCAGCATGTTCTGAGGACAGCTGCCTTTAGCTCTATCTTTTGGATTCTACTTGTGTGTACACCTTGGTAATGTCATTGTACCTGCCTTCGGGTGGCTGGTAGCTAGAGATAGGTGGTGTGTAATGTGGCCCTTCTTTCTCAAAGGGGAGGAGGCTGGTGTCCCGCTTGATGGCCTCATTGTAGAGCTCTGGGGACTCAAGTTTCAGTTCCTCAAGAGCTTCCTGCTGGGATTCCAGCATAGCCCTGATGGCATCCCTCTCCATCAGATGCTCTTGCTGCTTGTACAGTGACCACCTCTTCAGAAGAAGAGCTCTCCGCTCACTCTCCTCCAGAGAGAGTGCCTCCTGAGACCGCTGTCTGTGAGTAAAGAGTCCAAAGATGTGAGGCTGAAGAGCACTGACCTTGCTGCAGGGGGTCCTGTGTGACCGCACATGGCTCAGCGGCCCCACTATCAGGCCCTGCTAGGTATATCTAGGACTCGGGGGAAAAAAAAATTGAACTTAGGGTCAAATTAAAAATACAGTATTGAACATGGCAGCAGATGCCAAGGTTATTTGCTTTCCATCAGCAGAAGGAACATGCTCTGATAAACTACAGTGCCTCTGTCTCTGCCCCTGGCAAAGCCTGCCTTCAGCAAGAGGGGAGCACTGGATATATGTGAAACAAACACCAGAATCCCACAGAGATAAGAGTGTGTTTTAGTCCTCGAACACCAAAAAAGCACCTGCATTCCCACTTGCTCACTTTATAAACTGCTGCTAAGCTTGCACACAAGACAACTGCAACAGACACTGAATATTTGCAGAAGAGGCTAGGGGGATGGCATGTGGATGGAGTGAGTCACAACTAATGCTCATGCATAAATCTTGAACGAAAGTTAATCCAAAATTCCCTTGAGCATCTGGCCTCTGGCCATTCAAGGGTACTCATAAGAAAGTTTTCTCTAAATCCCAAGAAGCACAGTCAAGACGAGGATTCAGACCAAGGCCAAGTCAACCCTACTGATCCGTGCCTACCACAGACAAGAACTTAAATTACAACTGCTTGAGGATGATGGAATTCCTTTCCTCCAAGGATGTCAATCCCAGGGAACCCTTACCTTGATTTATCCAAGAACTTCACAGGAGTAATATAATCTTCAATGGGAACTAGTTCTTGGTTAGCTTTTTCCAGTTTTCGGATCCTTTTTTTCAAACGATCCTTTACTGCTTGATCTTTTTTAGGATCCACCTTCTTTTTCTTTCGTAGAGGTTCTGCTCTAATGAGATAAAAAATGTTAAACGTTTTCCATTTCAGTCTCATGACAGACCTGATGCTCAGTGAAGTGCCCCATACCACTACTATATACAGTCCTGACTCCATGAGTTCAGTGACAGAGAGGTAGCTTCTTCCCCAGTGTCTTCTCGAGAACTATAAGAGGTTCCATCAACTCGAGAAAGTGGTACAAAGGCACAGGTTTTTACTAAGGGGAAATGTGAAAGGTAACCCAGGTAGATCTTGAAATTGATGTAGAAGAGGATATCCTTGAACTTCTGATCTCCTGTCTCCACCTTCAGACTGCTGGAATTGTAGGCACTTTCTGTCACTCTTGGTATTATGTGGTGCTGAGACTGAATCCAAGGCGTCATACATTCTAGGCAAGCACTCTAAAAACACAGCTATACCTTTTGCCTGGAAGTGTTAAGTCTTTGGTTCTGAAATTCAGGGGTACTCTGAAGAGTGAACATACTGAACTAATGGATCAGAAGCTCTTTCACAATTTTAAACAAATTTGCGTTTCATAAAAATACTTAGAGACGAAATAGTAAAAGTGGCATATTTTTATTTACTTGTTAGGGTTTCTTAACAGATTTCCTCATCTGAAAGCTTTGGCAAAAGTCTGGTTTACTTTTAGGAACACATCTCCCATTATAATTTTCCATTAAGAATAAGCATATCAAGGGGCTGGAGAGATGGCTCAGTGGTTAAGAACACTGGCTGTTCTTGCAGAAGACCCGGGTTCGAATCCCAGCACCCACATGGCAGCTAACAACTGTCCGTAACTCCAGTCCCAGGGGATCCAACAGCCTCTTTCCTCCACCGGCATTGCATGACACGGGTGCACTTACCTACATGCAGGCATAACACTCATACACATAAAATAATAATTTAAAAAAAAGCATATCTATGGGTGCACTTGCATGCAGGCAATATACTCATACATGTAAAATAAAAAAAGAATAAGCAAATCTGAGGCTGGAGAGATGGCTCAGCAGGTGAGAATGCTTGCTGTTCTTGCAGAGGACTAGAATTTGTTTCTCAGCATCCATATGAGCAGCTCACATGGGCCTCTAACTCCAGCTCCAGGGATCCACACCCTCTTCTGCCTTCAGAAGGTACTTGAAAGCACCTGGCATATATATACATAGGACCCCCCCACCCCATCAGTAAAAAAGAAATCCTAAAAAAAATTAAGCAAATCCTTTAACATTGAAATCAACTGAATAGGGGTTGGAGAGATGGCTCAGGGGTTAACAGCACCTCTGCTCTTGCAGTTCCCAGCACCCACACGGTTGCTAATAACCCTCTGTAAGTCCAGTTCTAGGGGACTCCAATGCCCTCTTCTGACCTCTGCATTGCACGACACGGGTGCACTTACACACATGCAGGCAATACACTCATACACATAAAACTAATATTTTAAAAAACTGAATCAAGTCTCAAAGTGTCCAAAGTTCCCAGAGGAACTATTTTTAGTGTTTGAGCCTTGCTCTCACCTAGGGAATAAGAATGAACAGGGAAGAGGAAGGCCCATGAAGATACATCCGTTGTCTGGGCCTTTTAAAACACACAAGACTCTCCTCAAAGCTAAATGGTATTTACTTAAACTACTTTTACAAGTAGCAATTTATGGTACAGAGCGTGTTGAAAGGACAGAAGCATCTACTCATACTTAACTAGGATAAGCTCGATAGGCTGTGAAATCTGTAGCAGTCTTGCTTTGTTCTGGTCATATGTCCACCCGTGTTAACACCCCAAGAGCTAAGGGCCGGTGTTAAGTTTTACCTCAGGGGGATGAGCTCCCAGAAGGACAACAATGAAGCCCGTTGGTGGGTGTGTCTGATCTGTGTCTGCCGGGTTCCAGGAAGCCTGATGTAGAGAGGTAATATAGAAATATCTGATTTAACCCCACTTCACAGGAAAAGAGAAGGCACATACAACCACAGTGCTCCAGCAGCTCCGCTCATTTGTGTTAGATAAGCCAGTAGAGTTAAGGCGGGGATTCTTCCTTTCACACTTAGACAAGGTCCTTACTTGCAGGATCGGGAGTATTTTTTTTTTTAAAGACAGGGTCTTTTGTAGCCCCAAGCTGGCTTCACATTCACTATATAGTGGAGGATGACCTTGAATTTGTGATCTTGCCTCCAGCACCCGATCGTTGGAATTACAGACAAATGTACAGGCGTGAGCCGCCGTGTCCGGTTTTATGTAATTCGTGCATGCTAAGGAAACACTCTCCTGAGTTACATTTCCAGACCCTATTTTTATAACAAGCGATCAGATCAGCTCATTCCTAAAATATCTGCGGACAAGGGGAGTGGGGCATGAGCACTGGAGCAGCTCTGGGTGCAGGAACCGCGCACGCGCCTAGGGCACTCCGGTACTGGAGACCGCACTCACCCGCTTGGCGGCCGCATAGCTCGCAAGGTACTCAGAAGGGCGGCGGCAGCCATGACTCTCCTAGTCAGTAGCGAGCGGGCAGCTTCCGGGAGCGCGCTCTACGGTGGTCTGGTAGGTGGTGCCCAGCACAGGTCGTGTTCCAGCTCCTGAGAGGCCGACCGCGCCTGGCCCCGCCCATGACGCAGCCCCGCCCCGGGCGTCTGGTTCGACGGGCGCGTCTCACCTTGTGCCGCGCGGGCTGCGAGTCACCTTTTCCCAGCAAATAAATTCCACCCGCCGGATACATTCCCGCTACCTCTACCCAGGCTTGGCCCGCGTCCCCGCGGAACTGCTTTCTGCTCCCTCTGGCCCAGTGGTCAAGTCTATGAAAACGCCCCCGCCCTTCCAATAAGCGCGCTCGTCTCCCTCCACCGTGCTGTCTCGTTTCTTGCATTCATTCGAGCCGGGGCAGCGGCTGTCAGTCAGTGGCTGCATCCAGGCACTGCCCCGGGCTGGCGCTCGCGAGATGCCCAATAGCACGTGTGGATGGATGACGGAAGCTAGTTCGTAAGTAGGACCCGGAGCCAGGGAGATAGTGCTAGTGACCGGCTATACACCACTCTAGCCCCGCTCGACTGCATAACGGGCCCGGGAGTTTGGCAGCCCCAGGCTCGGTTACCCACCCCCTCCCCCGCGTCCGAGCTGCCCACCACTGGGGCCGCGCCCCCGCCACACCCAAAGCGCAGTCGCGCTCCGCTCTCTCTGTCTGCCAAAGAGGTCGGGCGGGCTGTCCGTGTAGGGAGCGGTTTCCCGCCGGGGCGATTTGGCAGGTGCGCGCCGTGACTTCCGGCGTTGCCCGGGAGCCGCTGGAGGAGGAGCGGCGCAGGGGATGCGGCCGTGGTGGTGGCGGCGGCGGCCGAGCGCGGGAGGCGGCGGCTGCGGGCGCGGGCCGGCAATGGCGCGGCGGCGCTGAGGGCGCGGGGTGGGCGGCGGCCGGAGGGCGGGCGGCGCGGGAGGAAGTGGCGGTGGTGGCCCCATGGCCCAGGCGCGCTGAGGGTCTCGGCTCTAGCTTCAGCCCGGCGGCGGCCGAACAATGAAGCTCCTGAAGCCAACCTGGGTCAACCACAATGGTGAGTGCGCGCAGGGGTCGCGGGTGGCAGAGCCTGGAGCAGGGGCGAGTCTGGAGTTGACTTGGGGCGGCGCGCGGGCCCTGCTCGCCTCGCTCTAGTCGCCGGATGCCGGGTGCTGGAGATGCAGAGCCGTCGGGAGCGGACTTTGTCCTAGGCGCTGAGAGGCGGACGAGTCCGGGCACGTGCTTTGGACTGGCTGCAGTAAAGTCTGCCTTAGCCCCAGGCAATGGCGCTGCGCTGTGCGCTGCCCACCCCTAGTCTGTGGAGGGGCTGGTGCCTGGTTCCTGTGAGCCGGCCTGGGTCCGGGCCAGGTCCTGCGACCCGTCTCCACCATCCAGGATGTGCTCAGATGGTTCTGAGTGTGAAACTGGGGCGACATCCCCCTTGTGGCCTTTCAGTGGCTCGGTGGAGTGCTAGACTCGAGACTGTATTGCCCCTACTGAGGCCTGGAGCTGGAGACAGTGCCCCCACTCGGACGACTGTGATCTTGGAATGGGAAGGCCCAGGCGAAGGTCCCATGGAGGACCACGAAGGAAACACGTTTAATGCAGATCTGGGGCATCAGCGTGACTAAGATTGGGGCTGGTAAGGCACAGGTGTTCTCCCGGATGAGCGACCTTGGCTATGTGGTAGTGACGTCAAAGAACACCTGGGCAAACGGACTCATCCACCCTGGCTGAGGCGTAGCTGATGCAAAGAAGCCGGTAGGAGCCAGCTGTTTTATCCCAGAACTACTGCAGGAGCTGGTCTTACCAGCTGTTTTATCCCAGAACTACTGCAGGAGCTGGTCTTACCTTCTTAGAGAGCCCTCTGGTCCAGCTAGTTAGTTCTTGAGTTCCAGGAAGCATTCTAAAGAGGCACTAGGGAGCGGCCACCCTCTTTTGACCGGAAAAGGGTCTTTCTGATACTGTCTTGTTCCTCATTTCTACTTTGTAGCACAACTAGAGGGAGCTACAGTTTTTTCGTAAAACAAGAGGAGTAGACACATTTATTTCCTTTTTTAAAAAATCCATGTGGCCTTTTCATTTTGTATTTGATGTGAGGTGCTTTTTACTCCTACAGTCAAACTAAGCAACATCTTAGTTTTGGGGATCTCAAATGTTCTCCCTGTCTGTCTTCTGTGACATCTTCCCTGTTTTTCAAGGTAAGATCACATCTTTCTTTTGAAACCATTCCTAAGAGCGTTATCCCAGTGCTGAACTGGGTTCCCCCGTATGTGGAAGCTGTGACTGTATTTTTCACAGCCCAAGGGCAAGGACTGCTTTACTCCCCTCCATTTGCTGATGAATTCAGCAATGCCTTCCATAAAGTATATGATAAATATGTTGGTTAAAGCTAAGAAAGATAGGTGACCACAGTTTGCAAAGATGCAACTGATTACTGTACATGAAAGCAAAAGCTTTGGGCCTTAGTTTCATTTCTCCTGTTGATCTTCAAGAGCATTTCCTGATATTTAGGGGTGCACATCTTTTCCCTGCAAAACTGGGCATGTGCTGTAATTCTAAATTTATGGTGCTTGGGATCCTGAAAGGAAACATTTTGTTGTGAACTGGTTTGCTGTGTAATTGAAAGTCTGAAGGAATTTTTATTTCAAAATGCTTTGCCTAAATCTGTTTCTATAGCTGACCTTCTGTAGTCTGTATTCTACTTTTTGCCATAGAATACCTTACTTTCTGATAAGATCCCTTGTAGGACACAAGTTTTATATTGTGTAAGTGTAGTTATGTAGGCACGGAAGGATGGGAGTCTGCAGCCAGGTCTACAGCCAAATGTGCTTAGCCATTTTGGCAGAGTAAGGAGAGTGGTGGGTTCAGAGTCAGGAGTCTTCCTCGCTGACCAAGAATGAAGCTTGATGATGTCTGCTTTATGCACTTCACAGTATGAATGTGAAGTTACCTGAGGCTAACAGAGACATAAAAGCTCTTCCCAGACCAGAAAATGCATTAGAATCTGAACAATAGTGATTACTAAGAAAAAGAAGATACTGAGATTTTGGCAAATTTAATTTCTTTTTAAATCTAAAGTCAGCCTCCCAGGGCTGGAGAGGTGGCTCAACAGTTAAGAGCACTGGCTGCTCTTACAGAGGACCTCGATTTGGTTCTCAGCACCCGAACATGGTGCTCCAATTCCAGGGGATCCAACACCCTCTTCTGACCTCCATCGGCACTGCATGACACAGGTGCAGTTACGGATATGCAGGCAATACATTCATACACATAAACTAAAAATAAAATATAAAAAAGTCTACCTCCATCTCTAAATAACTGCTATCTTAGAGATGCTGCTGTTGTGAGTCACTACTGAGCAGGCCTTTAAAGATGATAGCGAGTAGTGGAAGTTGCCTGAGCCTGAGTGGTCTGTAGTAACTAGTAAAATCAAGTTTCCTTTGGTGATGAAACAGAAGCCACGGTGCTTTGGGGGAGTGTATCGTTGCTCTTTCTGGCTTCCTCACTCAGCAGTCCTGATTCTTATCTCTGGTCTGAGAATCCAGAGTGGAAAGAGTGGAAAGGGATAAAAAAGAGCTCAGTCTATTTTTTCCTTCAAATTTTTATTTATTTTTATGTGTATGAATGTTTTGTCTGCATGTAAGTGTACCCGTGTCATGCAGTGCCTGAGACAGACAGAAGAGGATGTCAAATCCCCTGGAACCAGGAGTCATGGATGATTGTTAGCCACCATGTGGGTGCTGGGAACTGAACCTAGGTCCTCTGCAAGAGCAGCCAGTGTTCTTAACTTCTGAGCCATCTCTCCAGCCCTCAATGTATTTCTTTAGAATGCCAGGGGATCCTTTTAGACAAAGTAGAGAGGCAGCTAGACTAGAGGAGGTTCAAGGCCAAGGAAGAAATGTTTGTTGGATTGTTGATATACTTTGGTCTTAATTTTTCTGGCCCAATACTAGAGAAACCCCTCCCATAGGTTTCCAAGTCTCAGCACTGTCGACATTTTCAGTCCTATAACTGTTTTAGGGGTTGTCTTGTGTATTGTGTGATCCTTGTTTAGCATCCCTAGATGGGATGTACCCACCACCATCACCACCCACAACCAAAAATATCTCTGGACTTTGCTGATGTTCATTGGTAGCTCAAATCACTCGCAGTTGAGATGTTCTGGTCTAAGGTTATCAACATGTGAGTAAATCTTGACATTTCATTTTGCAGTGAAATTTGCCTTGCATGTGGAATCAGACTGAGTCCAAGATGCCATCATTTACTAGCTGAGGAAGGATTCTTGGGCTAATTCTAGCTCTTGGTGAAATTGTATAAAAAGACTCATCCAGTTCACCCTGTACTCAGTATAAAAGACCACCCTATGTTAAGATACAAAATACCCAATAATATCTATCATTTATATAGAAGTTATATGCAGTGCATCTTCTACACATAACATTTTACTGGGATGTAGTTTGGGGTTGTAGGATCCTTTTTCAAAAATTTTATTTTTGTTTTATGTGTCTGTGTGTTTTGTATCCTTGTGTGTATGTGAATCATGTGGGTACCTGGTGTCTGTAGAGCCAGAAAGAGGCATCAGATCACCTGGAACTGGAGTTAGATGATTGTGAGTTGCTATGTGGGTGCTGGGACCCAACCCTGGGTCCTCTTGAAGAACACCAAATGCTCTTAATTACTGAGCATATTTCTAGCCCTGGGATGTAGTATTCTTGACTCTAAATTTAACTTTACTCTTGGTCAAAATGAATTCAGTTTCTGAGTTAGGTTGAGTATATTTTGGGTGCTAGGTGTGGTGTCACACACCTGTAATCCTAGTAATTGGGGAGGCTGAGACAGAGATTGTGAGTTCAAGGCCAGCCTGGGATACAGAGAAAAACCGTATCTCAAAAATAAATAACAACTAAAAAGAAACAGGGCTGAGTTGTGGCTCTGTGAATATGACTGGTTTTCAATTTTCAGGTTTGTGTATGTAGAGAGAAACAAAAGCTATAGGAGTAAGCTGTGATGCCTCTGGGGAGGAAGGGCTTGCCTCCAAACCCAGTCTAGTTAGTAGATCTGTTTTGGATAGGATGGTGATGACAGAGAACAATCAGGATCAAAGTTCTGAGTACTTAGCAGACTAAAGAATGCTAAGGATTAAGCTGATCAAGGAAAGAGGAAGGAAGTGGCTGGGAGATGGAGCCATGGACAGCCTTTTAGGAGCCCTGGTCTTTTCTGTTCTTAGGGACAGGAGCATTGAAGTTTCTGAGGGGTTTGGACACTTAGCCTATGTCTTAGGAAGGCTCTGTAAGACTTAGAAGGTAAGGTTCTCCAGGTCTTGATGAGGTACTCTGAGAGAAGCAGGAAAAGTTAGGGGTGGTAGAGATGAGAAAGATGGGAGACACTGAAGAAGTAAAGGAAGAATTAATGGGACTTGGCTATTACATGCAGATAATTGTAGATTCATGACATTAAAAAAATTTCCTCTTAAATTTCTATTTATTTATTTATTTATTCATTCATTCATTCATTTATTTTTTGGTCTTTTTGAGACAGGGTCTCCTTGTAGCCCCAGCTGTCCTGGAACTCATTATGTAGACCAGGCTGGCCTGGAACTCACAGAGATCTGCCTGCCTCTGCCTCTGCCTCCCAAGTGCTGGAATTAAAGGCGTGCACCACCACGCCCGGTGCTATTTATTTATTTTTAAAATTTTATCTGTATGAGTGTTATGCCTGCATGTGTGTGGTAAGGACACCCATGTTGTACACTGCCCACAGAAGACATTAGGTGGTCATTGGATCCCCTGGAACTGGAGTTATAGACGGTTAACTGCCATGTGGGTCCTGGGACTTGAACCTGGGTCTTCTGCAAGAGCAGCCAGTGCTCTTAACTGCTGAGCCATCTCTCCAGCCCTCTGAGTTTATTTCTCAAGTGTGCTGGAGAAAGAATACAGATGAGAGATGGGCAGAGGTGGTTTCTTTTGTGTATGTGCTGGTACACGTGCTCGTGTACACACAGAGGCCAGAGGAGAATGCCATTTGCCCTGCTTTATCACTCTCTCTGCCTTATGT